ATGTAACCCACTCAAGGGTGGTGAGTGAACTGGTGAAAGCGCTCACAGAGGCACTTTCCAATATTTACCAGCAGGTGTGACTAAATAGGGAGGCCCCAGGTGACTGGAAGTTAGTCAGCATGACACCCACCTACAAGAAGGGTTGGAGAGACAATCCAGGGAACTACAGGCCTATCACTCTGACAGTGGTGTCAGGGAAGGACATAGAGCAGATCATGTCAAGTACCATTATGGAGCAGATATAGGACAACCAGGGGATCAGGCCCAGCCAGCAAAGGTTTAGGGAAGGTAGGTGCTGCTTGACCAACCTGATCTCCTTCTATAACAGGATGACATCCAGTAACATCCACTTACTGGATGAAAGAAAGGCTGTGGATGTTGTCTCTGTGAACTTTGCCAAAGCCTTTGATACCATATTCCACAGCTTTCTCCTGGAGAAACTGGATGTTGATGGCTTGGATTGGTGCACTCTTGGCTGGGTAAAAGGCTCTGTCTGGACAGAGCTGGGCCAGAGAGTGGAGGTGACTAGAGTTACACCCAGCTCATGGGTGGTAACTAGTGGGGTTCCCCAGGGCTTGGTTTGGGGTCCAGTCCTGTTTAGTAAGTTTAACAACAATCTGGACAGAAGATTGAATGCACCCTCAGTAAGTTCCCAGACAACAGCAGGTTGGATAGGAGTGTTGACCTGCTGCTGGGCAGGAAGGCTCTGCAGATGGATCTGGACAGGCTGGATCAATGGGCAAGGCCAACTCCTTGAGGTTCAATAAAGCCAAGCGCCAGGTTATTATTCTAAAATCTAGACTATCATACTTACCTAACCTGATTTTTTCTGCTTGTTCTTGTAGCTCAGTTACCAGTGCTTTCATTCGTTCATAGTTCTCCTAAGTGGGGAACAAAACAATATTTTAAATTCAACCAAGGGTGACTACATTAAAATTTTTAATAAACAAACATAAGAAGTAGAAGATTCATTTCTCTTCCAAATCTAATTTTACGTTACTAAACATTGTCTCTGTATTGTCTATAAAGTAGTAACATTTCTACCTATGTACTGGCTTCTCTTAGACATCCCAAAGCATTTAATAAAAATGCTTTACAAAAAATCTTATTGTGTTAGGATAGTAAAAGATGAGTTCTGAATTTAATAAACAAATATAGAACTAGCCACCACAGAGGTGAAGTGTTGTTTCTTAGATTTTGTTTATCTTTGGCATAGGTTGTTCGCATTTTAAATCTAATTTGGTAAAAACCACAGATTTGAAGTAAGTGCTCTTATGACTTGCACCAAAGGATGAAAGACCTAGGGCAAACAGATTTTGTAAGCACGTTTTAGATTCTTGTTGTTTAGGCTGAACAAGAAGATAAAACACAAGTTGGTTTTGTTTTCATTTGGTTTGGTGGGGGTTTTTTTTGTTTTTTTTTAAACTGGTGTAATTGCTATTATACTTCTAGAAAAACAAAGATTCATAATCTGAATATGAGTGAATCAGTACCGAGTTCATAATTTCCATCCAAATTATCCAAAACACGGTACACACATTACAACAGATTGAGGTCTTTTTACAGTTTCTTAGGAATTTAAAGGTATTAGTCAAGCTTAATTTTTTGGGTTACACATTAAGAATGTTACTACCTTTTTGAGAAGTGCAACTGCAATAAAAGAACATGCTGCACAAAAAGATCTTATTACCCTGTCTAATTCTCATTTATATGATGTTTGAGCCTACTTTGACAGAAAAAAAAACAGCTGGTAATTCTATGTTCATATATACTTGAACTCTCAGACTTAAAGTTTCCCTTAAGGAGAAGCTGCAAATGTTGCAATTCCGTTTGCTCACTTAGTCACTGAAAGGCAAAAAAACAAAGCAGAAATAAAATAAAAACATGTACAGATTCAGCTCACATTTGAAGTGCTTTGGCTGTAGAGTGACTTTCAAAACAACATGTTTTTCTGCCTTTATATTTGCCACAAATAGATTAAACATACTCTCTTGAAAGGTAAAAATATATATTGTAATTCCATACTTTTAAAAGTCTGCAGTTGTCACAACACCCAATATTACTTTGTCTCAGTGTTCAGCTTGTCCGGCTGGGTCATTTTGCACCTTTACACATCAAAAATTTTTCCTGTTTTTCCTTTTTCAGTCAGTCTTTTTTCTCTAAACACATTCACCTTTTGCACACAATACTGTGCTTAGAAACTCACCTTTAACATAGGAAAAAAACTAAAATGGCAGAGGATATTAACAGAGGAAGAGTAATCACAGTCATAGACTTTTTAATTAGATTTTGACTCACTGTAGCTAGTTTAACTACTCCACATAAAAACTTTGAAAGGACTTTTTAGATACAGATATAGATAAAAAATACTGCACAAAAACATCTGAGTTGCTTAAATTCACTTAACTTCTATCATGATCTTTCATGCCTTAAACCAGAATAAAACACTGTTATACTTCACCAAAAAGAAGTAAAGATGTTTTAAAATAATTCTGAATACACACAGAAAAGATTACTCTCATAAGTAAATGTGCTAGTTCTATGATGTATTTGTGGGCTTTTCATTATTGCCATCAAAAAATGAAAAAAAGGTCAGTGAATTGGCATCAAGCTCTTTCTGGAAACTGGTCCTTGCACCAGCAAGTTGTGTAAAATTCTGATGTTAATATGAGGATTTCTAGAAATTTCAATGCAAAATTAAGAGGCAAACCCTAAACACCTCTCCAACAGTTACTGCACAAGTACATGAATTACTACTACATCACCAAAGTGTATGTAACAGCTAGTATCTGGAATCTTCAAAGAGACTTTGTTTCATTTTCCAGAATTTAGACTCACTCGCCTTTGAATAACATTTTTGCCCATTTGGCTTAAGAGACAGTTTGCATCATCAAGGCCAGCCTGTCTAGTTGAATTCACAGCCAGAAAGGTAAACAATGGCCAAAGAAGGCAAGACTCTCATCACCTATCATAATGTCTTCTTTTGTTTGCACTGTTATTCCTTGTAATGCTTTTTTTTTTTTTCAGATGGTGAAGTGCCTCACAGCAGGGACCTCAGCTCTTTGTGTTTGTAAAGCAGTGCCTGCACTTAGTGTTCCATAAATTGTTTCTACCAAATACTAACACTATTAGCTACTTTACCAAGCCTTGCTTTTCTTTTGAGATTGAAAGGTACCCAGACATAAGGGTGAATCTGGGGTCAGCTCAGATGAGTGAACACATTTATTAAAATACTACCATATTTTGGTACACAAAATATGAATGCGTACACATATATACACACACTTCACAAGCTTTATACATATATATATATATATACATATATATATATATATATACAAATATATATATATATATAATATAAACACACACACACACACACACACACACACACACATATATATATATATATATATATATATATGCATACAGACAAATTTGGAGATTACACAGAAGCTTCAGTTGCCTAATTTCTGTCCCAAATTTAGTTTCTGCAAAACAAAGCACAGAACCAAAGACAGAACCAATGGACCTATCTCAGTAAGATTACATGCTGCTGCTTCACACAATTTGATATTTTACATGAACAAATATGAAAACAAATGCATGCTTCCTATCAGCCTTGAACCATACCTAAAGCCATGTTTTTCTCAGCCTAACTGTAAACACGATTTTTTAATATGATGATGTTAATAATGCCCCATTAAAAATAAATTTATTTATACCAGATAGAAGTACTACTCCCTCTTTGTAAAGACAGCTGGAATTACACCTAGCTCTCCTCCTCAAAAGATGATATTTTTGGAGGCAAGCCCATGACTCTGTACAGCTATTCCATCTGTTATAAACTCGGGAATCAATTTGCAAATACAAGGAAGCATCCAACTTTGGAATCATCAGGCTCTATCATCCACCGTCTACAAACTCCGCCTCCACTTCACCAGCATGGTGTCGATCAGCCTGAAACGCAGCACGAGCTTGCATCCTGATTTTAAAGTGCAGAAATATCCATGACGAGCCAGACGGTTTTTGTCACATGGCGTCTGCAGGCTCAGCCGCAGGCACGGGCAGGCCTGGGCGCTCGGGGAGCGGGGCCGGGACACGGCGCTGCCCCCGCCGCCCCGCAGGGCGGGACCGGCACCCGGACCGGCACCGGACCGGGACCGGGCCGGTGGCAGGCACGTGCTCGCACGTCCCGCCTGCCCCGGCCGCACCGCGGGGCCGTGCTGCGCGGCCCGCCCCGCCCCGGGCCCGCCGGGCCCTGCCGCCCTACCTGGTAGAGCGCGGAGCTCGCGTCGGGGCGCGACCCCACGGCCGCCGCCGCCTCGCCGCGGTACCCACGGGCGAGCAGCAGGCGCAGCAGCGCCCGGCAGCGCCCCGGGAGCCGCGGGGCGCCCCGCAGCATGGCCAGGCCGGGCCGGGCCGGGCCGAGCGAGCCGAGCCGAACCGAGCGGCAGTCCCAGGCCGCCGCCGCCACTCCCCCCCAGCGCAGCCAATGGGCACAGCGGGGCCGGGCCCGGCCGCGGCGGCCCGGCCCGGGGCCCCGGCCGGGCTACAGCAGAACGCCCTTCGGAAGAATTGCTTGGATGCCCCGCTTTTCACGCACAGCCTAGGAAAGCCCTTGCCCTTCTTAGAAACTTGTCATACAGTAATAAGGACAGATCTTTTTCAAACCCAAACCATCTTTGGTCGAGTTTCTCCCTTCCGTGAAAACTTTGCTATTGTTCAGTATTCTAGTTTTACTTAAAGTCAAGGCCCTTAGCTTTAGAGGAGGTTAACACCGGGGTATCTGATACCAAGTAAATTAAGCTCTATTCTAAAACAAAATCAGAGAACAACGACAACGCCCCTGCAAAACGACACTCAGCCTGTTACCAGCAGGTCTGTGTGCACCCCCAGTCGTGCAGCCCAAACTTCACCTTTTCCTGTAGCTCACACTTGCTAGCTTCATGTACTTACAAGCATTTAAAAACTGCAACCAATACTTAAAGAAATAGAAATATAGGTAAAAGAAAATAATTTAGTCACATAATTTACATACAGAATAGGACTATTTCCTTTGACACAGAAAGCTTATATGTGATGATACAGGGCGTCAGACAACTCTAAGCAAAGCAGTTTTATGCTACATCTTTATAAAAATGCTACTCATACGAATTGAGATTTCAACTATATTTTCTTACATCCTTCATCATTATAAAACTTCTGTACATAAAACAGAACACAAAATTCTCTTAATTTCTCTTAATTCTATTCAAATTAAATTTGTTCTTAAAAAAAAATTCCTCTAACAAAGTGCATGTAATTCGCTGCAAGGAAAAAGAAAGCATAGCCCCAGTTAACAATGCAGATAAGGCACCATAAATCTTAGTAATGAAGTAGTTGATTTTTTCCCCCCTTGTAACATAAATGCAAGCTAAAATGTATGCAACTAAATGTACAATGATTATCCCCTCAGAAGGTACTCACAGCATTTATTTCATAGCCACCCCCCAAGAATCTATATTTAGGCTCTATAAGTGCAATTGATATAAAACATGCCAGACATATCAGGAAGTAAACACGTGCATACTTAATATCTACAAGATATACAATACATAGAATTACATGTATACATTAATCTCTTTCATATGTTTATAGTAAAACAATATTCAAATAAACATTTCAAGTTAGATTAGGCAAAGCACAAGATATCATCTGAACAGAAACTGTTGTTGGTATTTTTGAGGGGATTTTGGGGGAAGAGGTGGGTTGCTCAGATGCTTTCAAGTAAATTACTTACACTGGGACCACTAGTCCCTTTTCCATCACCTCAAGGAATAGTATTGCTAGTGACATTTCACTGGCAGAGCTAATATACCAATTTGCACTAACGTGAGCTTTTTGCTATATTTCTCCTATCTCACAAAAGTTTAAAGGTTCCTTCAGAAGCCTTGCCAATAACTTCTGAAAAGAAAAACAAACTTCATCAACTATTTCAAAATTAACTACATATATATATTATTTACCTGCCAATAAAGGATTACCCAGTCCAAACCTGATGACAGGTTTCTTGAGAACATTAACAATACCATTTAAACATCAGTTTCACCTTTATAGTAAATTGCTTTGCAAAAGTACCTGCCAATATCAAGTAATGGGAAAAATTTTAAGACTACTCAAGCTCATGCAAGCAGGAGTTTCAGACTAAATATTGGATCTTTTAGCGACCACCTGACTTTAAGAGTGCATAAACGTAATTACCTCACCCAGACAAATTTCTTGAGGAAGTACAAAAAAATTTAAACTAAAATCTAAAGCTAAAACAGAATTTTATGGCAAGTTACAGTATAAGCAGACATGCACATAAGACCCTTTTAATTCAAGAGATTCAAAGCAGCAAATCCTCAAAGTGACATTGTATAATGGTTTAAATCCAATCTCTTTGTGCTATTTTGCACAAGGAAAACCAAGAAAGTCAGTAAATATACAAACAACTACATGTAAAAATAAGGAAAAGAAATTGTATCTATATCTTTGTTTTCCAATTTAGAAGAAAATTAGCATTTATACTAGGAAACATCAATCTGTTCCTCCAAGTGATAAAAAAGGTTGCAAACCTTTTTTTAGTACATTGTGTTTTTAAGTTTTCAACAAATTCTTAAGGAACCAATCCTATTAGGCTTTTCAGGTTATGATTTTTTAAATTACGTGGTTAAAAAACTCTTACAAAAATATGTAATTTGGAGATTCAAATAAAAACACCCGCAGTGCTTGACATATATACATATGTATTCACTACACCACTTCCAGTATTTGCATTCTGATCTTCAGATATTACATTATACCCAAAAGGTTCATTCCTTCTTCTAAAGTAACATACTTCACAAAAAGAAGCAAAGAACTTGAATAGTCAGTACCAAGAAGCATTAAAATGGAAAAGAATACTTGTTGCAAGATTAAACATTATTTCATTGCACTTTTCTGCAGGATAGTCATGCACTCACTATCAGTGTCTAAACAAGTGAAACCATAAGCTGGCAGTTGGTAGTCTGGTCCTATGACATCATTGTAGTGGTTTAGACTATGTCAGCATTTTGAAAGTGCCTAGGTTGCTTCAGAAAGAATCCATTTCATTTATGGCATTAATTAACAACATGTGCTAGGGTGAATTTATGATGCTTGTATTCCTAATCATATGTTCTGTTGATGCTGGATGTTAAGTGTACCTTTAAGACTGGTTCCGAGAGTGAAGGGGAAGAGAAGTGCAGAGTTTGTTATCAGAAGCTGCACTTGCTCCTCTGCATTCTCTCTCACAGACTGTGCTGTTTGCAGAACAGACAAGACGGCATGAGAGAGTTTTCCTTTGCTTTTAGCTAGTTTTTAGCTACCTCAGGCAGAGAAGTTCCCTGTACTGTGGCTTTTCTTTTTTTTTGGGAACTGATCACCCTTGCTCTGGACTGAAAACCCTGAAAAACACCAGGAGCTCATGACTGTGGCCCACTGGAGCCCAGGACGTGGCATTTTCCAGTGCAGGAGAAACTGATAACTGGCTGAGTGAGCTGAGCTAAACTCCATGAAAAGGACTCTCTGAATTTGCCATCTCTTCAGAACAGCAAGAGGTTTTATTGTTTAATAAAGTTCATTTTTTATGCTTGTGAACACTTTGCTTGTTAAATAAACAGATTCTTTCCACTTTTCTCCAGGGAAATCTTTCAAAACCAGTTGGGGGAGGGGTTGCTTGAATCTGCTATCTAGAGGGACCCCTTTGAAAGTTTCCTCCCAAATTTGCCCTAAACCAAGACAAATACATTGCTTTGGTGCCCAACATGTGGCTCAAGAAAGTGAGAAAAAAACCTGTACTGATTGCATTTTGGTTGTACTTACTCTGTGCTGAGATAAAGCAATCAGTAGCCATGTTGCCTGAATTCACTTCTCTCTGGGTGGCAGCCTTCACCTGTCTTTGGCCCCTAGGCTGTTTGGAGGTTTTAATACCTTTCTGGTCCCTAGGCTTATTTTCTTACCTGGAGATAGCTCCAGTATTGTCCCTAACATGTAGCTTTTACAGTAGAGGAGCACGGATTTGGGTTGCTGTTGTGCTGGGCTCAGTGATAATGGCTTATATAGGTACTGGAGCTTGTTCAAGATATGTTTGGTTTATGGTTTCTTTGTCGAACCCTGCATCCCAGTTCCAGCAGCATGTTTTGGGTGTTTATTAGGAATTGCACTCAGTTTGTTAGAGGAGGAACAGGAGATGAGGCTTTTTCAGCCCTCACTTTCCATCTTCTCCTTTGAATTTGTTACGTCACTTTTGAAGAACGTTCAGTTTCCCCTGAATGTTAAAGAGATCACTTTTCTGGTATTATATCTAGTACTGTTATTACTGGCTGACATTAGGCGTGGCATAACGAATATCAGAACAAATTGTAACTTTTAAAATACTCTTTTCTTGTTGCAGTACATTCTGTGTTCCTAGGTTTTTATAAAATCCATTTGCTATTCTGAATCATCCACTTCCATAAAGATGTCACTGAAAAAGTATTCTGAGATTTTGGTTGGTTCTCCTTCCTTCTCTTGATCTTTAGCACAGAGAGGTTGCTTCTCAGATGAGCTGTTACTTGGAACCTGATAAAACAAGAAAAGGTTGCTCTTAACAGTCTTCATCAATATGTATGTGTAAATATATTTTATATATATGCATATGAGCTATTTGTAAGGTTATTTCATTTATGAAGGAAGTTTTGACCAAAGGGAAAAAAAAAATCAGAGTTTATTGAAAATGATAAATAAATAGATATCCATGATACAAAAATCAACTTATTTCCCTTACAAGTTTCCTAAACATGCACAAGTCAGAATTTGTCAACTGGAGCAGATACTGGATACTAAACATGAATGCTACACACCCATCTATTCACTTCTGAAACAACTAATGCTCTGTTCTTCACAACTCAGAAATGCACAGTTGTTCAAAGTAAACTCATACCATAACTGCAGCATCAGTAGCTACATGCTCATGTTCCACAGATGATGAAGTAGAGGGAAATGAACAAGATTCCCTCTCATCCTTAGTGGGTGGAGTGGGTTTCTTTAGACTTGGTTTTGGTGTTACAATTCGAGGCTTTTGGATCTTCCCTCTATTCCCTTTGCTGTCTTCTGCAGATTCAGAATTACTTTTTTTGCAAATTAAAGATAAAAATCCCAATGGTTTTCGTCCACCCCTGTTCAAAGCAAATATAGTCAGGATGGCATAGGATTGCTCCATAAAAGGAAGACATAAATAGCATAGCAGGAATCCAGTTCATTACACAGGAAACAAACACACACCTACAGGCCACATGAAAATTCTAACCAAAAAAACCCAAAAATTCATTCTAAGAAAGGCTTTGGTGTTACTGAAGAGTCACAGAGATTCTTGACAATTTTTAAGCCTGAGAACAGGAATCTATTATTTGCTGCTAATCCACAGCCTGTAACAAGCTACCAAACTTTCAGAGAGTGGTTCCAAGAAGGATGGAGGCACACTTCTGAAGAACAAACTGAAAATTCTGAGCATCCTTCAAGTAATTAATGGAAAACCCGATCCCCATGGATGGGGCTACAGCAGGCTACCTGCTTCAGGGGTTTAGCCTATTTACAGCAGCAAACCCAGACCAATGAGCTTATGGAAGTCACAGCACTGAGGGAGGTACACAAAGCTTTAACTTTTCATGCTGTTAAGAGTTTACAAATCAGAAAGTAAACTTTAAGGCAAGGATTCTGGTCTTAATGCATCACTATCAAATTGCTGTGGATGTCCCAAATATAAATAGACAATATCGGTACTCACACAAGCATAATGAAAAAGTAAATGACAGATTAGTAGAGGCCAGTGGAGCATTACAATCAAAACACTTAAACACAGGAGCAACAAAGGATATGAACTCAAAACATTTAAACAAACAGTACAGAAAGGTATATTTAAAAAATCAAGTCAACATATAGATAAGAGGAATACCCTCTGAGCTGCCAAGATTGAATCTCCTTGGGGGAAATTACTTGTGTCAGTCCTAAAAATTCAGTGTGCTCAGTACTGTACCAGTAACAAATCTTACTGGCAGGGCAAACACCAAAACAAGTGCATGGGTATATATATTTCACAACATGAGACTTACCTATGGAAAACAACAAATTATCTATCCTAAGTTCCTATCACAGCCAATGGATGCTATCATGTCTAAATACACACACAAAATGTCAGTAGTGCCCTTCAGTTGATCTACTCATTTAATGAGTAAAATAATGCAAATTTCAAAGCAGACAGTTTGAAGCTTGCTGATTTGCAGGAGAGTATAGATACTATAACTTTTAGCCATGCAGGTCACAAACAATGGTACTGAAAAGATATCAACAGAGAAACATGATCTTTTTTTTCAGAACAAGCTGACAAAACACTATTGCAATTACTGCATACCTGAGTAATGGAGTTTTTGAAAATGATGCTAGGCTTCTAGTATGTTCCAACTGTGCAGATTCATGCACGTTCTTCTGCTTTCCTTGTCCACTTATTTCTGCTCTTCTGTTAGAGGTTAATCTAGACATAACCTCTTCTTCCTTTTCAGATACTGCATTCTCAAGTGGTGCTTTCCGTAAGCTCTCCAAAATCTCAAGCTGGCTTGTCTCAGCCAGTTGTGAGATAGACTCAGACACCAGTACAGAAGTAAGTACTTTTTCCTTTGCTGAAGACTCTGTTTTTTGAAAAGGATTCCCTGTAAAAGGAGTTGAGAGCCAAAGACTTCAGTGATAACACAAAAGCCCAAAAAATGCATGATATAAAAATGGCTTGAACCACTACAACAGAAGGGCTGAATTTTTGTTTAGTTTTACTTGTCTATTTATTTTTATAAATCACCAATACAAATTAAAAGTTCGTGGTCTACTTTTAAAACCTGAAAGATGATACAGATTTTATGGGAAAATGTAGAAGTGTGGTTTTAAATTTTACAGAACACTGTTCCCCCCGTCATCCTTTATAGCACACCATAGAACTTAGTCTAGTCACCTAGCTGTTTAACCTTCTACAACTTCGCTTAGAACTCTTTTTCAGAGCCAAAATTACAGTTCGCCAAAATTACAGTTCACCAGCTCGGATCAATGAAGATTGCATTGTCAGCAGTTCTGCTTTTTCTCTGTTTCTTTGGAGGCAGATTAAGCTCCTAAACAATTCCATATTTTTTCAGTAGAAATGCAAAACAAAATAAATATAAACTATTTTGGCATTGTGTGGTTAAAATGCCAGTTAATACTTTTGATTATTAGTGCTCTTTAACAGGTGGAAATATTTGCTTAAGAGAAGATAACATGTTTAGCCAAAAAAAACCTCTCAAATTTCACCAATAAACTAGCTACAGCAATGCTTTTAAAATCATTATTAATAACCAACATTTATGTAATTTGGCACACCTAGTTTATAGCAGAAAGCATGGAATGGTGGTACTAGTGTAGTACCAGGAAAACTTGATTCTACTTTTGTATTAGATTGCCTCAAACAGAACTATTTAGCATGACAGCCAGTATGAAGTTGTGATGTGTTTACATTCATTATACTTTGGTTTACAAGTTTAAATGTACATACCAGAAGTTACCACTGGCACATCTGTGGATTTAATTGAATAACCCTGTATTTAGAAAAGAAAAAAAAAGAGGGTTTTTTATTGCTTTCAATACAGAAGAGACAATGAAGTTGATAAACTCATATCACACATGCACAGTTCTAAGAGCAGGACTGATACAGAAGACAGTGCAGCATCATTCATCACTTAGGTAATTTCCTAAGCACGCTTTTCAAGGTGTTCTTATGACAAATTACTCAAGACAAGGATATTGAGATAGGAGATCAAAGAAGGAAGAAGATTGTTATCCATCCCTTCCTCTGAAAGCTCTCTGAATCATCTGGGGAATTACCCCCCATTCATACACCAAGGTACAATATACAGTCCTAGCCCACTTACAAAGATCAATGGTAGTTGCTGCCATAAGCTTGGTCATATTGTAAAAAACACAGAAGGATGCTGGAAAGATGGTGGCTTGCTTTCATTGGCAGCTTGCTCTTTTAAACTAGTACCTGCTTTGTTAGGAATCAAACATCTATCTAACAGCTTCTTCATGTAACAGACACAGTGCAGATTCAAACTATCATTCAGTGAACCTAGACATCCTGCCAGTCACCCAATATACCTCCAGAGTTGCCTCTCCTGCAATGCCATTGTCATAAGGGTGATGCAGAATGAACAAGTAAGACATATTATCAATTTACTAGGAAGTCTAATTAAAAAAATACCTGAGAGCCTACAGATTCTCAAAAAACCCTAATAATAAATAAGCACCCAAAACCTGTTGTAGATTTAAAAACTGAAAACAATCTATAGGTGTGATTTTCCTTTTAAGTTGTATGGGCATATATAGTACATATTTAAGCAAGTCACATCATTAAAAAATAAACATAATTAAAATGCTCTATTATGTGTTATGCATCTACCCCGTGGATGAAAACTCACCAAATTATGATCTCACCTTGTAAGTGGTTTCCAAGCTATTTTCCCCTGCAACAGTAGATAGAGTTTTCTTGGAAGGAGAAAAGTCATTCTCTTCAAGCTCAGCAGCCAACCGTTTTTGAGCTGTCTGCAACTTTGGAACAGGGTCTACTGCACTCTCTAGTTGTTTGGCTTCCATAGTGCTGTTTAAAGGTCTAGGAACCTTATTAGCTGCAGTTGTCAAGGATCCCACACTGTTTATATATATATATATAAAGTCATTATTGTGACAGTAAAAGAAGCCAAAATTTACTTTGTATAAAGTTTCTGGATGGAAATTACACATGAATCTCTGGTGATACTCTCTCTTGCTTAATGTCAATATTAACTTCTAATGTACCATTTATTACCAAGAAACAATTTGTTGTGCTGTCTGGAGTTAGTTTTTCTAGTAATATTTAATTTAGTTTAGCTGTTCTATTTGAACTCCACTTGGTCTTTCCATACGATGCAAAAATATGGCAACTTATTAACTGCCCTAGAAAAATGCTAAAATACAGTGTTATTTATCTGCACAGTTGAGCCCCCACATACTCTATTAATCTCAAAAGACATATATATGTAAGATATACAGAGAAGTACCAGAGATGAGGAAAATATGGTAAAGCCGTATAGGAACAGCAAGACAGAGCATGTACCGTAACTTAGTCTGTCAGCAATTTTGTTTATCCTAAGTACTTCCAGCGAAGTTAGAATTATTACACTGTGTAGCCAGCCTTCACTCAAAGACCTATCCTTTCAATAAAGGAATGATATTAGCATCTGATATCACAGGGCAAGATTCTTCACAATTATGTGGAATTGCATCACACTCTAGTTTTGATCTGAGGACTTTCATTAATATAGTATTAGAGTTTGTGGGTTTTTTACTACTTTGCAACAATTCCATTTTTCATAATGTCTTTTTCCTTTGTTTTTTTTTTTCTCCCAAATGGACTAAGATATTTAGTTCAACAGTAATGTTGACATAAAAATTTTGTTACACTGCATTCAGAGGTACTCTTTGTAAAAGAAATTCAAACCCTTTTGGATTGCAGTAGACAGACCAGCTATTATTCTTTGGAGTAATTAACTAGTTTGTGTTTTCATCTTGTCTGTCTTTTGAACAGAAAATTCAAGACAATAAGAATTTACATGTTTATCATGTAAACTGTTTATCATGTTTTCCAGAAAACTATCTACATGAAAAATCTGGATGAGCAATTAATAAACAGCTACTCTACAAAACTATTAAAGTATTGCAAAATACAAACATGCTTAGATTTTTTAATTTCAATTGCTTTGCATTGTAAGTATCCATAAGGCAAAGTAAAGCTCAAGCTGGACAAATGACTGCTACTAAAAGGAAGACCTACTCTAAAGGGTAAATCAGAATTTCGATGACACCAAAATCCCAGCTAATTACAACACTAAATTTAAAACACCTATAGAATCTTCCTCAAATCTAATTAGAGCCCTTTTTACTTTCTTAATTCTCTAGCCATCCGTCAAAATTACTTCCTCTTGCATTTCTTCTTCTGAGAAGTTCTAATCTGTACTACACAGTCAGAGAACAATCAAGGTATACAAAAACTGTTTCACTTTGATAAAAAATAAAGCATTTACCTCTCCACTTCAGCCACAGTTGTTTCACTTGCATTTATTGGGCTGATAAGTATTGGGGCTGGTAGTACTGGTTCTGAAGTTTGTTCCACCATAGCAGATGCATCAAACTCTTTTGAACCAGCTGGGATTTCCACCAATGTTAAAATGAATGTCTGTTCTTCCTCTGGACGTCTATGATCATCATTCACTACTATTGCTTTTCTCAGGGAAATAAATAACAAAAAAAACCCTATTAATCAAATATGAAATTATGCTGTTCTCTTCATGTCCTCCCTACACAGAGTACTTTAGAAATTTTAGGCATTCATTTCTCCATGGAAAAAGGCATTGGGCATTTTCTTGAGACAATAAGCTTCCTGACTTTCCAGATGAAATACACATCATCATCTCCTGGTGCTTATTCACTGCAGAGGAATCCTGATTGCCATTTAGAATGAGGAATATTAAAAATGCCTAGTAATGATGAAGATTTTAAAAGGGTGTTCTAGCATTAAAGAGCAATTTGCAGTTTAAAAAACTTATGTCATGGTGGTCAAGTGGCCCAAGTGTCCTTAATTGCAACTCTCAGGTATTAAAAGTTACTTCCTTAAATGGCAGATGTCTGCTAGTTTGAAGGTAAGCACAGAATTTTTCCCCTCACTGCAGATTGGCAGAACAGGACATGAGAAGCATAGTCTTGAATTTAATAGATTAAAAATATAGACAATTTAATCAACAAACAGACATTAACAGATACGGAATAAACATTTGTAAAATTTTCAAAAGATGGAAAACAACAATGGTACTCCATTATTTAAGACAGCTGTCAATGAGGTAAAGCTGTTATTCCAACCTCAGCTTCCTTGGATTATTCATCTAATTAAAGATGGTTTAAGATGCTTCACCCCAAGATTCTTGCAATAATAGAGCAAAGACTTCTAAGAAGAAGTATTAGCCTGATCTTTTGCAGAAGCTCATGAGTTACAGCTTTGGACTACAGTTTCCATGTAAAGTAAGTATTCTGGGCTTGTGTCACTGTGACTATCCCATATGTTAGACAAGTAGTGGTTCCAAACCATTTCAATTTGTTCTAGGGAACAGCAGACATCACATCCATAACTTTCATCATACTTGACCAGTTAGGCATTAAGCTGTTGACTTAGTACAGCCAAAGAAGGAAGTTTGATTGTATTACACTTGTCCACTTCTTTCCCTCTGCTGCACACTTGCACAGTACAGACCTCACACTCACAGAACTCTGACAACAGCATTCACTTGATAAGTTCATGAGCAATTACAGCTCACGAAGCCAATGGAAAACTACACAGTTTCTCACCCTCTGTCATGTTCAGTTTTTGTTGGGTGAGTCAGAGGTGCATAAAGGCTAAAAACTATATACTGTACCTACCACAGGGTAAGCAGCAGGAGCTCTCAACAGGGCAAAGAGAGCAAGTTTCTCTTCCACAGATACTTAAACTTAATGAAAGACTATTCAGATAGTTCCCAAGCCTAGTTTCTATTAACAAAATGTAAAGACAATCGGCTAGGTAGGGGAATGTCATTATGCTGTGGATCATTATTTGTGTTAATGGAATAGATTGATTAATCATGTCAATGAGAATTTTGATTTTTTTTAAATGAAAATGTTAGGGTTTTAAGTCATCTTTTGGTAAGTACAAGATAAACAAAATGTGGGCTTTTGCTAACTTTGAATATTATCACACTATACCTGAAGTTTCTTCTGTGCTGCTTATGCAACGTTGTTGAGCATCCTGAGTATAAGCTTCATTCTAGAAACAACACAGTTGAAATAAAACAACTTAATAAATCTGGGAAATTACTCTAGGAAACAGGAAGAAACAAAGCACATCAAATGCCGAAGATCCAGAAATTCCAATCATATCATCATTATTTCATTTGTCAGTTTTCACTTCTAGCTGTTGTAGGCTGAAGAATATTAGCCTAACAAGGACAAGAAACACTGGGGAAATATAAAATTTATATGCAGTTTGTTGTCTGTATTGATAATTTGTCAAAATAAATTTATACTTCCTACAGCAGAATTCTGTCAGAGATGACTCACACAATAAACTCTTCAGTGGTACTAAGAAAGCAGATTCCTTCAACCTTTAACAAACCACTGAGTGCCAAAGAAAAACAAGAATCTCTACAGCTCATCTATCCCTTCCCTTCTACAGCTTGTCCCTTTGCTAAAACCAGGAATTACTGAACCAGCTGACTGAACCAGCTCTACTGCAAGCTGCCTCTTCTCATACTCTCTGCGCCATATAAGAGCAACATTATTCTTGCATGTTGTCCTAATATGAAATCAGCCTTGACACAGCAACCTGCTGCACTCAGGAAACAAGCTTCTATGCATCAGCTGTTCCAATGTAACTATGTGCTCACTGATCTCAGACAACACTAAAAATCATGAGGAACTGTGACCAAACCTTTCTCTCAGGACAAAAATAAGGTAACTCTCATTTATACTAGAATACAGACACACAACCCACTGCAAAGAAATGGATGTGAAAAACATATTGTTTACCCGTGACAACATACATGATGATCTAAATTATATATATATATATAATATGCAAAATTTGTGTATGTCATATAATAATATGCAAATGTAAGCTCCTAACAGTTTTTTAAATAAATAAGAAAGAGCATTACAAAGGATGCAATTTGTTTTCAACAAAGCAAATCGAAGTGACAATGAGTATGCTCCATCCAAGCAGTAACATTTTAACTTCTTTTTAATGTAAGTAAACATAACAGAGGTCACACTGAATGGATACAAGAATCCTAAGTAACTTCTTCCATCAAAACTTCTTAAAATTTCCTCAAAGTTTGGATAAGACGTATCACTTATTACTGAAATGTTCTAAACAGAGTTGCAAAGATTAAATTTGTCTGAAAGATTATTTGGATATGACCCTGCAAAAAAGCAAGTTTCATTTACCAGCTGAAGTACCAAGTGTTTAGAACTGGTGAGTATATTTGCACTGAAAATCTCTTTATTTACAGAATTTCAAAATCTGGGCACTTCTGGACTGTAATTAAGTTCTTGTTCTTTACCTGAGTAAAGTTGACTGTACATATATGGTGCTCAAGAGGATAAGGACTCTGCTCAGACAGTTCTTCCCCAGAACTTGGATTTGGACAATCTTCTAGTCCAAGGTGTGATTTTTCAGGTTTTAGTGATGCAACCAGATGTCTTAAATCTCCTGAATTTCCACAAGCATCTCTTACCTGCTTTTCTGTTCTGCAAAGCACATATGTGGCTAATTTGAAACCAATGAAGATACCCTGTGCAAATGCTATTCTGTGTTACAATGTATTTAATATTAGTCACATGTAATTACATTGAAACAAAGCTACATTGTTTTTACATTATTTTTACAATGTTAGTACATTGTTGTACTAAACAGAATGCATAATCTTTGAATAAATCTACATGAACAATTTCAGGGAAAGGTCTCTGTAGCTCCACTAATGGAGACATTTTTACTGAAAGTACAACTAAGCAGGAAGCTTTATAATCTCATTAACATTTCTAAATGAATCAACTCTTTAATATTTCCTTGTAGTTTCATTAAAAACAGTTAAGCAGAAAGGTAATTCTAAGTTCTGAAATAGCAAACAAAAGTTAATGTTCTAAAAGCTGTTGCACAACATGCAAGGGAGAAAAATTCGAAGTCTAAACTGTACACTATCCGTATAAACATACACAGTGTCTGTGAGCATACTTTTCCCATTACAGTCACATACTACACCTGAACTTCAGCTGTGTATTTTAAGAGACGGCAGGAATAAAGTCAGTATTAAATGATGAGTATTCCTACCTCTCAGATTTGTCTACTTGCTTGGTAGGTTCCATACTTCTAGATGCAAAGTCATGAATAACTGAAGAATCACTTGCAGCTGGTCTGACTGGTTCTGGTTCTACCTTCTGCATTTCTGCATTATCCCTCAGGGTTACAGGATCTATGTTTTATAAGAATAAAAATTAAAACAACGTCTTCTCAGTCTGTGGGTGTATTACTTTTTACATATAATCTTGTATAAATTAAAGTTTGGTAGTATGTTTATGTAGACACATATACATGAATGTGCACATGTATCCTTGTATCTTATATAAATAAGGCATATACACATATCTCATCTTGCCTTTTCTATTTTGCCAATGGTACGAAGACAAGAGTTTGAAGACTACTTTTTTTGCAACTGCTTTAAGAATACAAAGCCAGCTCTTTCTACCTCCTCTTCTACTTTTAATGGAAAGAAAAGACAGTAACAAGAGAAAAAAGTACACTGTATTTGACTGTATTTCTGTAATTGGCAGTCCATTAATTTAAGTGCCTTACAGGTATTTTAATACCTGCAGGAAAAACCTGCTATTCAAATTTAATTTAATTTCATACTAAAAGGTATTCTTATGTACATTACATATTATCTCTGAACACGAATGGAAAGTGAAGACTTTCAGCTTTGTTTCATTTCATGAACAGATGTGAATCTACCAAATAACCATATTCAGAGCCCTAGGGAAAGAAACAGGCTTACCAGTTTGAATTTGCTCTAGTTGTTCCACAAGTACATTTGCATTAAGTATCTCCAGCATTATGTTTTCACTGGACCTCAATATTGCAGAGGTTGGCTCAGACTCCAGGCATCCACCTCCTGTCAGTCTCATATTCATCACAGGCAAAGAGCTACCACTACAAGTAAAAGGAAAAATGTCATCAACATAGTCCCTGATTTTTGACAGTTAATGAATATATAAGAGATATGGGGTAGATCAAACAATGAAGACTTGAAATGCAGGCTGCAACTGGCAGAGAAAACAAAAGACTACCTGTCAGGATAAAAAAATAAAAATCATCTGCAAATTGAAACAGACAAGGTATGCTGCAACATAGGTATGTTTCTAATGTAAAGGAATTTTTTAAAAAAAGAAAAATTGAAATGTTTAAATAACAGGAGGAGATCAGAAATCTAATACATATTACATGGTAGTAAATTCTGGTTTAATAATATAATTAAGCTGGACGCAAAATAAATTATCTTGGATTAAGATTTTTCAAAGAGCATAATCTCATACTTTATTCAAGCAGTCAACAAGTTAAACAGTCTTTCAAATAATAGATGATCACCAGCAGATGTTTCTCTGGGAGACTGTCCCACTAAGCTGTCTCGTAATTCACAAATGCAAAAATTATTAAAGTCAATCACTAAAACCATAATGATGGAAGATCAGCTGGTTTTCTACCATCCCTTTCCTCTAAATCTTTATCTATACCCCACAGCAGCAGTGACACTTAACCAATTTGCCTTGGTCTGATTAGCTGTAGAACTTTGCAAGAAAGATCTTGATAATTAAGAGTGATCCAGTACATCATTAGTCTGCATATTTTTTTTCTCCCCCTCTTCCCTGAGTAAACCTAATTTCATGACAGAAAACCCAGTTGTAGATACCCAAAATTACATACAAACACTTCATGAAAGTAGTAAGAAAGAGATGAGAGGAGTTTTTGCAGATTACATACTAAATTACATAAACTGAGAAACCTTTATTTGAGCAAGACTGCTTGCAAAACAATAAAAATACCAGAAAGGAACTAGGAGAAGTAAGCAGTGCCAGAAGATCTCGCTCACTAAAGAAAATGAAGTAGTAATTTAACCTGGTATCAGTAGCATCCATCTCTGAATATTCTTCTACACCTATTCTTGTGCCAGTGATTTGACGCTCTACATTGATGTTGTTTCCATCCTCAGAAGGCAGAAGTTCCTTGATAGAAGTATCTGAAGCAAGCAAATACTGACAAGAAGTTCTATTTTCTTTGGAGTAGGTGTTAATTACAAGGCTATGAGCTGTGTCCAAGTCATTTGGAGCAGGTAACATGTGTGTCTGTTCTGGTTATAACAATAAACAGAATGGGAAAACTGAATTTAAAACTCAAGTTTGGCATGTATATAAAGCTATATAACTTCAAGCCTCATTTAACTAAGTTTGTATTGTCCAAAGACACACATTCAAATCCCAGATAAACACAGTCCTAGGAGAACACTTTTTGTAGTAAGAACACAAAAACTAACATTCAGCAAATTAAAGTAGATCATAAATGCTACAACAAACCCGATAATTTCAGGTTGTAGTTAGTTAGGATGAAAAGGCAACACTTCACATTAAAGGTCTGAAAAGATCACTAAAAGTTAGATACTTAAGCTTGATCCCTTTCTTTTGTCCAGTTTATGTGCCCAGATCAATTTAAACATGTGCTTCCTAGAACAGGTCACAGAAACAACTTTCTAGCAGTGATAGTTGGCAGTATTCAGTAGGGTGCCTGCCTCTTTCCAGCATTGGCTGGACTCACTATATGTTACAAAGCAACAGTACTAAAAGCATAGAAGACTCTTGTCCTCCTGCTATGCAGCAGCATGTGGAAGAGCTTTGCAGCTCCATCCCTCCTTAGGCAGACCCAGAAAGCATGAGAGCAAGGCTTTGTCCCATAAACCAGATCATACCTTCAGTGCTTGTTTTTAACTGGAAATTTGGATCACCCATTGCAAGTAAAGTCATAGCAGCTTCAGTGCTTCCATCATTAATTCCTGTGAAGTTGTTCATACACGTTAGAAGACACAAGCACGTTAACCGGAAATTCACTTACCCATATTCAAAAAGTATTTGACACTACCACCAATACAGTGAAGTACGTAATTTTTAAATTGACCTTATTTATGAATCAAAATGCTTGTAGACGAGCCATTCTCATCCAGTTAATTCAAACCACTGTTAAAACACTGAGCAGCAACATGACTGCCTTTAAGGGTGTACTGGATACAGGTGACAAGGTGTTGACAGCAGGGGCCTGCCCTGGATACAGCCAGTTCCAGCTAACCCACTGCAGGACACAGTTGAGCGTGTCAGCCAAGATGGTGGCACCTTTGGAAACATATTTTAAGAAAGGGGGAAATGTGTACATAGGTAGCAAGTCAACAGGAAATACATGAGCAAGATTGTTTCATATCTACCTTTGTCCACATCTGGATTTTCATGTATGATTGTTTCCTTAAATACAAAGAAAAACAATATCAAAGTTCTATATAAAATGACCCCATAATTTTTATTTAATGCTTATATGTAAATTATGTGCCCACAAGTTACCCTGGTTTTAAGGCTAACAATATTTACTAACAGTTTTCCCACAGGTGTACCTCACGTCTGTGTGGGACAGGTACCAGTCTAATAACCTACACAGTTACATTCAGACATGGCAACAAGAGACTGCTGAAATAGCTTTGTATGACCAATGAAACAAACAAAAGACATTCTTACAGATGTTGAGGTGCTTTCTTCTTCCCTCTGTACTACTGGTTGGATAGAAGCACAAGAAAGACTTTCAGCATAAGCAGCAACCTCCACATCTGGGATATTCACAGATATTTCCAACTAAAAAAGTAATTTTACAAGTATTTCAGTTCATCGTATGCAAAAAAAAACCTGTCAAATGCAAATTTTTATAAACCTCACATATTTAACAAATGATCAACATCTAGAGGAATCCTTTGCAAAAATCATACCTTCTGATTTGGGAAGGAAGCAGTGGTATGAACAGAAGGCAGAACAGGTACTGCTACGTGCAGCTAAGTGGAAGCATCAGACACCCTAAGGCCTTGTTTCTAGTCACTCAGCTCTCCACTGAACTAAGTTATGCAGCTGAGATCTTTTATAGTAACTGTTTACCTCAAATGGGTTTTCTTTGTTTTTACTCTTTTTCTGCTTTTTAAGTCTTCAGGACAGAAAAACAGTACAGACTTATTTCCAAAGCAAGATAGGGACACAAAGAATATGCAGAATATTTCTATATGCAGACACATAGAAACACACCCACTCACCATTTCACCTATTTTTTTATCTTCTTCAGCATTGTATTTTCACTGAGAACTTTAGACATTTGACATTTTCAGAAATGAGGACTTGAAATTTGATGGAAAGTTCATGGTATTTCCAGGGAAGCTCTCACAGAAAGCAATCTGGGTTGCTCTCAAAGGCTTGCACTTTACAGACTTTTGACTGACCAATTTAATTTTATAACAGCTAGGTCCTTGGGTATTTAAACACATTCCTCACTAGTACTCACATCTTCTAAGTGTTAAAACTAGGCAACTTGATTGTAATCCCCATACATTAGATATATTCCAGATCTCTGAAATAAAGGATTCAGCAAAAGTTTCCATACAGCAACATTGCTGCCTATTATTGTTCTAGAAATCCCTTTGTGTTTTGACTGAGTTCTAAATTATTCTGCTGTTTCACCTGGAGAAAGAAACAATATGATTCATTCAGGAGACAATAAAAAGGAGGATTTCAATGGGCAAAGAGAGGAAGAGGACTAGCAGTAGTAGTATGCAAAAAGGCACTAGAAAGCAAAAAGCACTGAAGTGAATTGAAAGTAGCGAAGACAGGAATAATAGAAACATGTCTTCTACTGGATAGTGTAAGACCTAGGCATATACAAATGGTATGAAATAAAGGATGAAGATTGTACTGGCCATGCCTGGGATGAAGTTAATTTTCTTCATACCAGCCCACATAATCCCAGTCTTTTGGATTTTTAACTACAACAGGGTTAGTAACACACCAGTGTTTTTACTATTCCTGCACAATGTCAAAGCTTTTTTCCTATTCTCTTACCCAGCAAGGAGGCCAGGGGTAAGCAAGAGGTCAGGAGAACACTCAGCTAGCACAGCTGACCCAAGCTGATCAAAAGCAAATGCTGTACTATTTCATGACATGCTCAGGAATAAAAGCCCAGGGGAAGGAGGGAGAAGAGGAGGCCATTTGTGGTTACAGCATTTGTCTTCCAAAGTTACTCTTACATAGACTGAGGCCCTGATTTCCAGGAAGTAACCTAACAATGGAAAGCAGCACACAAACTCCTTATTTTGTTTTTTTATTTATATGCAGCTTTTCCTTCATGTATGTAACTGTCTTTATATCAATAGAGAAATCTTCTTGCCCTCCTAATTTCTCCTTGTCCCACAGGAAAAGGGACTAAGCAACCAGATGTGTGTGTCTGGCTGCTCGTCAGGTCAGCCTACCTGACAGTTAAAAGTTTCTTGGCAAGGGAGACATGACATACAGAAACATTTTCCTCATACCCTCATTTCCTAACATTCAAACAAGGAATTGAAGTACTCCATTTGATCCATCTTGGGCCTCAAAACACATGGACGAGCATCGAGTCTGGGCCTATATTCAATCCCAATAAACAAACAGGTGAGTTCCCTGCCAACCTATACAGAGTTTGTAAACATAATTATATAACTGGATTTTAGGCTGATGTAGTATTAAGTTCAAAACCAAATGTATGTGCCAAGTAACATCCCTACTACTCTCAACACCATTCTTAACCTGATGTCTTATAAAACCCAAATACACAGATATACAATTAGAATAAAATATTCTTAAACAATCAGAACAAAATTACATGTGTAGAACCCAGCTACACAATACCTCCTCCACGGTTTCCTGTATCTGCACAGGAACTGGTTTTGGAGATCGAAGACCTATAGGAACAAATGCTGGAGCCTTGTTTACTTCCTCTGATGCAAAGCATTCATCTTCATCATCAAGCTCAAAGTCATCTGCTTCCTCATCCTCCTCCTCTTGAGAAGCCCGGAGGGTGACAAAGGTTATCTTTGAACTTCTAGGTTCCTTCCCAGATTTTCTTCCCTGTGTTGTTTTCAAAGTTTTGCCTCTGGTAACACTCAGTTTATCTTCTTGCCTTTTACGCCCCTTCTCACTGCAATCAGCCTCACAATCAGAGGCAGAAGAAATAGCAGGTTTTGGCTCCAACACATGTTCTGGCAGTGCTGTCTGTTTTGATCTCCCGAACTGCCTTCTAAAGTACAAAACAAAAACAATGAAATCCAAAACATTCCAAAGAGAGGGATATTACAAATCAAAAACTCATTAAAAAAAAAAGTTATCATTGTGACCAACAAAGCAAACTACTTACTTCTTAACTAATAGTGCCAAATAAGCATTTAATCAGAAATTTAATTTCTTCTTGTGTGTATAATGTACTTACTGCAAATATAAATTAAGCAGCTTCAAAAGGCTAGAAATGTTCACAATTAAACTTGCAAGATGCACAATTCTTTGATTAGGAAAGTATGAAATAATTTTCATTTTGAGAGATGTGGAAGTCACACACTTTTTTAAGTCATAGGAACACTTCCAGTTGTCTTTTGCTAAAGCTAGACTAGAAGTGTTAAACTATGATACTTTAATTGAACAGACTATTGTTTACAAACTGAAACGTTCAGGTGATAACTACTTATCTGCTTTGGTTTCTCACACAGCATTCTCTTCAATGATAGTTACCTACAGTTTCCTTCTTCAAAATCCTGGGCACAGCCACTCTGAGTACCAAAATCAACGACCAACTTCCCCCCCAAAACATCCTCTTTGGTAAATTGGTGGAGAGCAGAAGCAAATGGCAGCGGAGGACACAACTAGCACAAAGTTTCTCTTTAGGTTAATCCCACAATCCCTGTGCCCCCAAATATGAGTACTGTCATGTCAGGAACTTTTGTTGAAACCATGGGATGGACTGGTGGGAGTGCTGCCTGTGTTCATTTAATGAGAATACAAGCAGAGTAAGAGACAAAGGAGTATCTGCACATCTGCTAAATTCAGATGGAAGACATAAAAACTGACATGCTGCATGCACTCACACATGGCAGAACTACGGCCAATGGTTATCTATCAACTGAGTTTGGTTTATAAAGCAAAACAGTTGTTTTACCTTGTGAGACTGTCTGAACGCTTCTCCTGTGAGTTAGAAAGCTGACAATCATTATTTTGTTCTACGTGTCTCTCACTCTCTGATGATATCCCCGGAGACTGGAGTGTAATGTCCTCCCTGATTCTCTTATGAGACTTTTCTTCAACATTCTCTGCAAAATTGTGTTTCCTTGTAGCTTCTAAGAAGGATCCAGCTTCCACTGTATTACTGGAGTTTTCCTGAACAGAGGAGATAATTACTACCGTATGAAGTGTCAAACATTTGTAACTGTTTTTGGTGACTTAGAGAACTTAGTTTGAAGATCTTGAGAACATGCCCAGCTGTCATCTCTTCCTCATTGTCTTTCATGTTGGGCTCTATAGCAGAAGTGTCATTAACTGGTATTATCTACGATACCTGAATTCCCAGTGCTGCTGGTAGTAAATAGACCAACACCATGTTCAACTTATCAAGAACAACTCTTTAGCAGCTGGAAAGATTACTAATTTTCTAAAATTACCTATTAATTTAAAGAACAATTTGCAGGAGTGAAAATTTTTTTTCCCTGCCTTAGAAACAAGGTAGGAAGAAAAAACAATCATACTTTAAAAGCATTTAAAAATAGGGACAAACATCAGCAACCACAGTTCTGTCAACCGTGGATACTTTGCTAAAAGAATATGTTAACTAGAAGTTTTAGTCGTCCATATAGCAAATAGGGAACATTAGATAAACTTGAGTCAGTTATCACAGCATTAGGAAGAAACAGAACTAGTCTGGGCTAATGTAAGCCTGCTGAGCAAAGTTAAGGTCTGAACTTTGTTGACGCTCATTTTAATTTCTAAGTATACTAATTTTAGCTGGTATCTGAAGCTACATAACTGCCTTATTTTCCATTGTTCAATGAATAACAAACAGAATTCCAGAATACAGCAAAAATTAATAATAAAAAAAATATTTTTTAACAGCATCAGCATGTATTTACTATAATGTAAATTTCTGATCATATAAACCATCAAACTTAAGACAACGTTGTATATTAGGTATTTCCACGGGTTTTAAATTCTAATTCAATTTACTCAGCATAGTTTTCAATAGTGAATTTAAAAAAACATTAAATAAGTACCTTAACCTTTTCCAGCCACATACTGGATTTCTGTGCCACCTATCTTTTGAAGAACTTGGGCCAAATGACTGAGGTATAACTGGCTCAAAATACACAATCATCACTTACCCCTGATACACCTGTTTTTAATAACACCAAAAACTCTTCATTTCTCTCAGGATTGTCCTCTTCTCTGTTTTCACACTCTTCAGTATAATCTCTTTTCCTAGTAAGTCTCAGTAGATCTGGCCTTGGGTTCCAGGGGGATTCCCTTCTTTTCTGTTCACTTTCTTCTCCTGAACTTAATTTATCACTGGACCTACAAAAATATGTTTAAACTTTTACTTCCGAAAAACTACAAAGTACACTCTACAATCTTGGCTTACTATCAGATATTTAGTACTTCTAGCTAGAAATGAACTTGTGTTTTGAATTTTTATTTGCTTAGTTGGCTGCATGTAAAAAAAACACAAAGGAAGAAAAAAAACACTGCGTAAGGGAGATAAATTGTCCGCAGCAGCAGACCTTCCTGATTCGTCTTGGGAAAGATTTTAGGAAAAAAAAAGAACAGTAGGTCAGATAGATTGGAAAGTGTCAGCTATACCAACACAGATCTCCAAAATTAAGCAGCCATAGGTACATTGTATTCACTAATTCCAGTGCTCAAGGTTCTACTGCTTTTAAAAAGGATACAATTCTTACATCTGTTCAGATCAGTAAGACAGAAATCTTGGCCTTCTAAACTCATGGCTTGAGAAAAAGGGACTAAGAGTAATCCAGAAGAATACAATATAGTCAGCCTCATCTCAGTCCCTAGGAAAGTAATGGAACAACTAAATCTGGAAATTACTTCCAACCTCACTTGAAGAAGACAGCATGGATTTGTAACTGGAAAGTTATGCATAATCAGCTTGGTAACATCTTTCAATAAAATGACTGGCTTGATAAATTAAAGGAGAGCAGTAAAGATTGTCTGCCTGGACTCCAGTAAGACTTGTAGCACTGTTGAACCCTGTCTTTTCTAACATGCCGATAAGTGAGCTGATGAAGTATAGACTAAAAGTACACTAAAAACAGACAGAGTTGTCAGGTTCTGAGATTTGTGATCAGTGTCACAAAGTCCAGCTGGAAATCAACAACCAACACTGCCCCATGGATTAATACTGTCTCAACTTCTGTCCAGTACCTCCACAAATGATCTGGATGATGGAGCAGAGTGTAACCTTGCCAAGTTTACAGATTAGGCAGATCTAGAAGGAATTGCCTCCTAAGGACAGAGACACCCAAAAGTTATACTGGCCTCCAGAGGGACCTGGAGAGGCTGGAGAAGTGGGCTGACGGGAACCTCAGGAAGTTCAGCATGGATGATGCATAGAGATGCAAAGTCCTGCACCAAGGGAGGAACAGCCCCAGGCAACAGCGCATGCTGCAAGCCACCCAGCTGGAAAGCAGCTTTGCAGAAAAGAACCCGGCTGTCCTGGTGGTCTCTGAGTTGAACATGAACCAGGAAAGTGCTGTGGCTGCACAAACAGCGAACGGTGACCTGGGCTGCAGCAGGAGAATTGTTGCCAGCAGGCCAGGGGAGGTGAACCTTGCCCCTTGTTCAGCGCTGGTGAAGCCACACCTGGAAGACTGACCAGTTCTGGGTTCCTTGGTTGGAGAGACCTGGACACACTGGAGACAGCCCCCCTGAAAGGGTCACACGGATGGTAAAGGGCAGGAAGCATCTCTCCTAAGACAAAAAGCTGAAGGAGCAGGAACTGTTCAACCTGGAGAGAAGGCTCAGGGGGAGCCTTCTCTGAAGGATCTGAAGAGATTCCTCTTCAACAGTTCCACAAAAACCCAAGGGGAGGGTGCAAACAGGACAGAGCCAGGCTCTTTCCAGGGGTGCCCAGTGACAGGACAAGAGACAATGGGCAAACAGTGCAAGACAGAAGGTTCCTTCTGAGCAGCAGGAAAATCCTTTTTCACTGTGTGGATTACCAAGCACTGGCACAGGCTGCCCAGAGAGACGGTGGAGCTGTGGAGTCTCTGTCCTTGGCAAGATTGAGAAGCTGTCTGGACACAGTATTGGGCAACCAGCTCCAGGCACCTTGACTGGGGGGCTGGACCAGAAGACTTCTAGGAGATCCTTCCACCCTCAACCATTCTGTGAGTCTGTGAAAGTCCACCGTCATAGAAGACAAGAAGATTGTCAAGTAAGGCCCTTGTCTTTTTAGTACAGAGACTCTGGGACATGATTTGAACATAATTTATGGAAGAAATTTTAGAGAGTTTTAGGGACAGATACAAACTAGAAGTTAATTGCAGAGTACAGCAAAATTGTAAAATAAATTGATTTGGGGCTGCTCTGTGTAAGTTAAGACTGAGAAAAAGGTAGCTTATAGCATAACCCACAAGTAAGTGGCACTATCTGCCTCATGCTGCATACATTACAAGCACCATCATAGGAAGTTCATCTACTAGAAAGAAAAAAATGAAGAGACTCAGGATATATATACAGAAACACAAAATGAGCTTGCTGTCTTCTTGCCAGCTCTCAATTGTAAGGAGTGCAAATGGCACTGGCTCAGTCTTTGGTCCACATTCATAGTTCACTGTACCCCAAGAATTTATTAGTGAGAAATTCAGACAGCTAAAGCCTGATTACTTACTTCTGCTCTCACCCATTAAATACCTTCTAAAAAGGAAAACAACATTGGGAAAAAAACCCCTAATCCTGTTAATAACTGTTCTATTACTTAAGAAAGCCACCTAGTGACTTTCACAGCATATAGTAGATAACAACTAGTACAGATCAAAACCTGTGCTTCCAAAAGCAAGTGCTGTATAAAAACAACTGGACAAATACACAAAATTTTTAAAGTGCTGTCATGGCTTCACAACAGCTGACAAGTAAGTGCCATGCAGTCAGTCTCCAAACTCCAGGGAGGAGGAGAATTGGAAAGAAAAGGTAAACCTTGTGGGTTCAGATATGAACAGTTTAATAATCATAACAAAGCAAAATATAAAATAACAAAAAAGAGAGGCAGACACACAGACAGAGGGGAATAAAATGCAAGGTAACAAGTGATGCACAACTGCTCACTGCTTGCTGACTGACACCCAGCCCATCTCCAAGCAGTGTTCAGCCCCTGGCCAGGTCCCTCCAATTTATGGAGTGAGCATGATGTTCCACAGTACAGAATATCCTTTTGGCCAGTTCACATCAGCTGTTCTGGCTGTGCTCCCTCTCAGCAGCTTATGCAACTCCTCACTGGCAGACCGTAAGACACTGAAAAGTCCTCAACTCAGGGTAAGCACTGCTCAACAACAATTAAATGTCAATGTGTTATCAATGTTATTCTCTTTTTGAATCCAAAATGCACTGCTGGACCACCTACTAAGAAGAAAATAAACTCTACCCCAGTTGAAACAAAAATGAGAGATTTTTTTACTTTGAAAACAGGTAACTTTACCTTTCTGTGGTATCCTGAATGCTTCCTAAAGCATCTGTAGATAGACACTCTTCTTGCTCTCTTTTGCTGTTGTAATTTGGTGATTTTTTAGAAGAACAAAGTGATCCTGATGTCATGGTTCTTGAATTTGTATCTAGATTGTCATTCTTGGCCAAATTTCTCACAAGCAACAATGCCTCCATGTCATCCTGGAGAAAAAACCCCAACAATATTAACAAAGTATACAGAAATATTTTATTTATTATTATAACAAAATATATCATCTGTAAAATAAAGTATTGCAAATTATGATCAAGTTGTTAGCCTCAGATGAAACTTCATTTAAAAACTACTTAGTAGTTTATGGCACCATCACTGCTCCTTGTTCCTCTAGGAAGGCATTTAGCTAATAAAAAAAGATACTAAAAGCAAAAGTCCTTCATGAGAAACAACCAAGGAGCTCAGGAGAAACCCAGCAACAGAAATACAGCATGCAGGTAACTATTCATATCTCATGAATATGACTGAAATGTCAAAATTGAAGTGAAGTCTTTTTATGTCTTATAGATGTGTCCCTAGCAGGATTTTGGAAAACCCTGTAATAGCATGCAAATACTGAACAAGAATTCTTACTGGGCTGAAATAAATAAATGAATTTGCAACAGCTTATTTAGATGCCTTAAAAAAGTTACTTTGGAACCAAGCATCAGTAGGTGTAGTCAGAAATAGAATCTCACTTTTGAGGAGAGAAGGTTTTCAGATTCTTCTGCCAAAGGCAGATGCTCTCCTTGATTCATTCCTTCTTCATCTGGGGCAGTAAGTTTTTGTACTACTGGAAATCCTTTTTTGCTGAATGTTCTTTCCAGGTTTAGTCTAGCTCTTGGAGACTCAATCCTTACGGGCTTTCCTGATTTCAGAGCACTCAGCTTGTCTTCTTGGGAGGTAAATTTTTCAGTACTACTGAATTTAAAGCAAACAAACAAATCAGAAAAGAAACACTTGACTTTGGCTGGGAGAGAAAAAAAGCACTTCTGCACTTTAGCACTTACATAAGAGACTAACAGACCGCTTTGTTTAAGATTAATAAAATTATATTTTCAAATACATTTCTCATTTATGCTCAAACTTGAAGCAGAAATAACAAAATGTCTTTTTCAAGGCATTTTTAGCATAAAAACCCAGTTGTGTTGTTAACCACACCAACAGCAAAGTATCAGCAATCTAACACACACTTAAGATCTTATATTAACAACAGTGGTAGTAAAATAGAAGAGCACATGGATGGATGAATGAAAGTCAAGTCTCTGACATACTGCAAAATTTGCTTGTTACATATCTTACATATGTGATTGCTACTTAAGCAAATACAGACCAAGTAATAAAACATCTTGGTCAAGAAGACCTGTGAGCTCATACAGATCAGGTATGTACCATATAAACAATGACAGAGTGCAGCGAAAAAAAATGTGCTCTCAAAACACTGGAGGAAGCTGTTAGTAGCCACTGAAAATGAAATACTGTAGCAAGACAAAAGACAAGGAACAAAAGAATTTACATTTGCAAAGACGTCTCATGCATAAACAAAAACTTTTCAAATGCTATTTTGCTAAACTCAAACCTCACCTGCTTTGTTCAGACAATAAAGTTTCAGAAATAGAGAGCACCTGAGGCATCTCTTGCTGTTCCTGTTCCTCTTTGCTCAATACACCTGCTTCACACAATACAGCTTCATTTTCACTCTTTAATTTACCGTAAAAGAAGCATGAAGAAGAAAAAAAGTACGTAAGCCTCCAAAACAAACGTATATTTAATAGACAAAAATAGAAACTATGCTATTTTCCCAATTGGAATAAAGGTAAGAATCATGTTACAATTCAATTTAAATGCCAAAATGAACAGAAGTTTTCATACTCCTGGGATACCCAGAGTTAAGTTCTTAAATACTATGTGTACCTGAGCGTTATGGGAAACAGCAGTCTATTTAGTGTTCAATCATTTCCTGAATATATGAAGCACTGTGGAAACAAGATACTTCAGCAAAAGGAAAACCTTTGAAAACTGGACACTGCAGAGGGCAGCACAGACAAACCCAAGTCACAATAACATAACCTCAAGATCCAGACGGCCTACTAAGCTTTACATCTCTATTTGCCACACTAGTTCCACAAAGAAGCCCCGCAAACATATCCTTCACCACTTCAGGCCTGTGACAGCTTGACTAGTAAAGAGGAGCATCGGACCTGCTCTGGTTGTACAGATTTGTCCAGTAAGGAACATGTGCATGTGCATGGTTCACAGGCCACAGGTGTAAAGCAGGCAAAACCGAACCACAAGGAACTATCTTGACTAGGGGTGGGTGAGTCAACTGTGGCACTGACAGGAGATGAGAGACAAATGCAGGACACAACTACTTCTCAAGAACAAAACCAGCTATAACCACTCCAAAACATCAGTCACTCTTGCAAAGTTTAGCTGTATTCCAAATTTAAGACAAGTCTACGCAGATATCCCTATATCCATGACATGGTTCATGTGTAACCCACAAAACAGTTATAGAAAACACATCACACTGTAAATGGTTGCCCAGGATTTCCAAGTCTCTCACAAGTCCCTAGTAAAGTGTTTGTGGGGATACACATTGTCATTTACTTGTACGAACAGAGGAGTATCGGGTACTGTAGTGATGAAGCCAGTTAAAGCTTATAAAATTTTAAAAAACCCTTTTTTTTCATAAAAATAGCTGTCCTCTGCCATCACTTGAGATATTATACTAGATTGCTCAACACAGACTTGATTAATCCAAAAGGAAAGATGAAATGAGGAAAAAAAAGGTAATCCTTATGCATTTTTATTCTAGAGTTTGCATAAATGTGCATAATTTTTTCCTATCCTGCAACTCAATCAAAAGCAGATCCTTTATAAAAAAAAAATACTTCAAGCTGTAGACCTCACTGATATCATACCAAAAATACCTCAGCTTACTAGGGTTTGGGAAATTTTTAAAATTTAATATATTGTCTCAGCTTCAGGCAATGCAACTTCAATGTTTTCATTTCACTTAATAAAAGTGAACATGCACTTCATACCAACTTTCACAGCAAAGTCTTACTCTTATTAAGGCTTACCATGACAGTATTGTCAAACTCATCTCTTTGCTGTGCTTCAGGCTTTTTCTTGTTCTCATTTTCTGATAACTCCTGCTTTCCAATAGTTCTTACCAAGTTTGGCTTGTACCTCTTGTTCTGTGCCAGCTGAATAAGTGCAAGAGGTGCATACTGACGTTCTTCTTGAGCACTGTTTGTGTCATCAGTGCAAAGTTAGGAGAGAAAAAATAATCCAAAACTTAGTACAAACGCATATTACAAATACAAACACAGGTGCATTAGTATTACATGCAAAAAACACTGAGTTTTGACAAGAAATCTTGTGAACTAAAAGTTCAGCTGAGTTTAAATTATAAACAACAATTTGTTCCAGCAAAAAATTTGAAGCACTGGTCTTCTAAATACTTCCAACAATAGAATTAACTAACTCACTGAAGGTATTAACTTACCGATTACTTGTTGCTATAAAACCAAAGCAATTTTAACATGGTTTCTCTGATAAGCAAACTTACATGAAATGAATCCAGTCTTTCAGATGATGAAACTGTTATAAAATGAATGCTCATTAATGGCATACTTAGCATAGAAGCCACTGAAATTGTAGTATCACTGGTGTTAAACTATGAGAATGGAAATTTTGTGCAGTATTTTCATTAGACTATGTTTGCCAGAAGGAAATCCACTGGCACAATGATTTCCTAGCAAAATTCTTTCATTGTTATAGTCGAGGATCAGAAGTAGATAAGCCCTTACACTGCAATAGTGGCAGAAATGTCATCCTGGCTAATTTCAGGTAGGCAGAACTCCAGTTCACCATCCTCTGGTCTTGAAAATGTTTTTGGGGACTTAAAACATGGCCTCTCAGAAACCTGTTGAGAGCAAAGTGACTTCTCTTTTTCCAAGGATTCTAGTGCATTTAGGACTTCACATTTTCCCACTTTCTGAAAAATGGAAACACAAGAACCAGAAAAACTGGTTATAATTAAAACCTAATATAAACTGGTTATATAAAAACCTAATAAACCAAAAGGAGACTTTATGATGTCTATGAAGTTTGGTACTCACCACTCTCTGAAAAACTCAGAGATGTTTTTTGCACTCCTACAAACGCCACTGTAACTGCTCACTAATGATTTCCCAATCTTTCAAAGACAAATATACACTTTTTTATTTTAGACAAAAAAGCCTGAAATCTGTGCCATCTTCTATTAATACCTTTTCTTTCTTCCTTGTCATCTCTATAATGCCACTTTGGGTCAAAAAGACATCTTGACACGTAACAAGAGATTCATCATATCGTCATCTTCATCAAGTGAGTCATCTTCTCCTCACTTTTTACCAAGTGAAAAGTACACAAATTTTAAAGTAGAAAATTAAAGCTTTTGAAAAAATAGTTTTAAAAAGTTAACTTTGTATTTTTTTAAATCATCAGTACTTCCATTTCACAAAACCAAAAGCTCAAATATAACTAAAGGAAAAAAACCAAAAGCCTTACATCTGTGTCAGGGAGGATGATGCTACATTCACTATCACACTCTTTCAAAATTTCTTCCTTGTTGGTAACTTTCTGTGATGCACTTTTACTATTGACATCCAAAACTTTCTTTCTACTGGTTGTTCTTAAATTTAGCTTTGGTCTCTGGAATTGCATCCTCAGTGGCAAAGCTGATGATACAACAGTTTTCTCCTCTTTCTTTTGAGGATGAGATTCCCTGAAAGCAAAAGAACAATCAAAGGCATGGGACAATATGGCATACATGTATACAGCTCTCAGACCAATAGCAACACTAATGACAAGAAAAAGATCCAATAAAAACACAGTGATCATCACTAAAGGCCTCTGTATCTTATAAATAGGTAAGCAAAGAAGTTAACTGCCACTTCCACTTCAGACTTGGAAGACAAGGTGAGACATTTTACTGTTATACATACATTTTACAAACACCTTCCTCTAATAGTGTTTAAAGCTACCCAGAAGACTTACAGAGTATCTGTGGTTGACCATTTTTTTAAGAGGCACTGTAATAGGAAACCAGACCCTGTACTCAAAGATCTATACAAGCACACTAGGATGCACTGTGTAGACCAACACGGAGAAGACAATCACAGGGACTGAACATTAGAAAAGTGCATTTTTTTGAAAATTAGGCCAACAGTCCAAAGATCAAATTAACATCCATCAGCATATCAACTTAATGCTTTCAAGCTCTTGGGGTTTTGTTACTTGAAGTCTAGTATTGTCTTGATTAAATATGTCTTTTTATATATATACAACTTGTTTGTAATGTTGCAGTTAAATGTAATATGGTATAATATCCAGTGATACTGATAGCTTTAAACCATCCCTTCTCTCAACTGAAGTGAAATAATCTTACCCTGTACTATAATCTGAAACTTGTCTGGAGACATCTGACAGTCTCTTTTCACTTTCATTGCTTTCTGCTTCTGAGGACTTCTCTTGGAAACACTGTCTTGTATTTGAGTTCATCTCAGAATCTGCAGAAACATCGTCTAACATCACACTGGATGGCTGAGTGCCTTCATGAACTGTTAAATCCTAAAATGAATAAAAATTCCACTCCGTTAAGATGAAATACTCAATCTCTCTTCTAGGAGAACAAGAGAAATATGAGAAAGTTTAAATATTTTCTACAGAAATACTAAGATTTCTCTTGCTTCTTGTCATCCAACTACTCTTTTAAGTGGTTAATCTTCCGAGGCATTTTTTCTTTGCATTTCTCTTTTCAGATCTGGTATTACAATACAACCAAGTCAGATATATTCCATTTCCATGTAGGCTGGTTTTGACTAGGGCAGAGTTATCTTTCTTCACAGTGTTAAGTACGGGGCTGTGGTTTGGGTTTATGCTGCACACAGGGTTGATAATGCAGACACGTTTTAATTATTGCTGAGCAGGGCTTACACAGAGCCAAAGCCTTTTCTGCTTTTCATATTGCCAAGCGGGAGAGGAAGTTGGGGGGACATGGAAGGATGGGAGGGGACACAGTCAGGACAGGTAACCCAAACTGACCAAAGGGATATTCCACGTCCTTCTGAGGTGAAAGACAACTCAATATACCAAGTGAGGGAAACAGCTTTTGTCTTCCCACTACGTGTGATGAAGCCCATCTCTCCTGGAGGTGACTGAACACCTGCCTGTTCATGGGAAGTAGTAGAAGAATTTCTGGTTATGTTCTGCACGTGAGTGTAGCTTCTGCTTTCCCTACTAAACCTTACTCAGGGTTATCCAGCACTCAGGGATTTATCTCAGCTCCTGTTTTCCAGCTTTTACCCTCCAGTTCTGTCTCCAGTACTGCTGGTGGAGCAGTGAGCAAGTGAGACGGTACTTGGTTGCTCACTGCACTTAAACCTAACACTATGGAAAACAGCACCCAAGTGCAAAAATTTTATGACTACAAATTTTGTTTATTCTGAAATAATAAATAAAGCAAGCAAAGCCTATCCCTACAAATTATGTAGTATGTACTTAGGTCTACATAGGTATGTACCTATGTACCTAGGTCTACCAAGGCTTCCATTAAGGACCCAACAAAACAGCGTGCAAAAGCAGTTGCTCAAGAAACTTACACTTTTCAGGCAGGGATCATTGTTTTCATCTCCATGGTGTGTGATACTTTTTTCTGCTTCTTCAACTTCAGTTGTCTCCTCTTCAGGATCTTTTTCATCCATCAGTTCTTTTTGCCTTGCAACAGTTCTTCCTAGATTTGGTTTTGGTCTCTGTATTTTACCTATTTTTAGAGGCGTTTGATTCAACATAATCTGTTTGCTATCTTCTTTTAAACCAGCTGTTTCATTAGACCTGGAAAAACATATATGATCCCTGAAGCACACATCACATCTGAAAGTGGGAGGAGACTTGGAGAACAGATGCTTTTTTCCCCTTTTCTTTTAAATAGTTATTAACATACACTTACCTAAAATGTATTACTAGCTTCCTGAAAGAATAAAATTGGAAGTGTATCTACTAGGGACTGAGAGTTTAAACTTGTTTGCCCTGGTATTTTCCTCTTCCCAATGGTGACAGGATATCACACCAGAGAGACCTTTTTCTGATCCATAATGGACCTCTTTGTATGCCTATATAATCTAGAGGCAGATGGACCTAATTTAATAAAGAGTTTAAAAATATGCAAATATTAAGAATTTTTCTTTAGTTAATTCATAAAATATATAAAAAAGTTTTTTATCTTACTAATGTAAAAATATCAGTAGTGCATTACTAGAACAGTCAGATTCTTCTACAACTTTTTACACTGAGCATCAAGTCACAGAGCAGGTTAATGAAAGAAATAACGGAAAATGTTTTTCTGGCAGATTACCACACCCAGTTTATCTCCATCGGTCCTCTTCAACTATCTTACTTTAAAAGACAAGCTTGAAGTTTTGGATTTTTATTTCTGATCTTGGCTTAGCTTGGACTGGGGATTTTTTTTTTTTTCGGTGGAGGAGTGTTTGGGGGAAAGTTGACTTTTTTCAGTTTTTATCTTTTACAATCTCTTCTATAAAACATATTATTCCTTTTACACTACAGCTGCCACTTCACTGAAGAAAAATGCAACACTTAATAAATTACGTGCATTACAATCCCCACATACTGAATTTTTTCCTTCCTCTTATTTGACACCTAACAAACACTTAACTACACTTTAAGAACACTTACTCCTATTTAAATACTCAACCACTGAAATGGATGCATTTTAGTATTAAAAATGAGTAGCTAAGGCTTGTTTTAGTTTTTGAGGGACTAAATTTTCATCTTTTTCACATTTAACATGACTAACTTATAATTTAAGAGCACAACTTTAAAAATGAAAATGCTTTATGTATGTTTATAAATTAATAAAGATTCCTATTTTGTCCTCAATTTCTGTAGTTCAGAAGTTTCTTCAAAAACATCTATAATTACCACACTACAAAATACTACCGGAAGTGACAAGAATGGTAAATTGCAGGACAGCAGTGCTTATCTTCTTATTTTTCTCATACTTACTGTGACATTGTCTCCATGACCTTGTCATCTTTTTCTGCAGTATCTTCACTGGTATCATCAGATCTATTACCTTGGTCATTATTCTAAATAAAAACAGAATATTATAACATGAACTGTCTTATCTTATTCATAAAGTTCAGCATCACCTAACTGACCAAGTAACTGTTCATAAGAGGAGACAAAATAGATTGCTTATGACACACAAACAATTACAGGACAAATTTCGTAGTCAGAGAGGGGCAGTAAAAACTACAGCAAGCACCTGAAGTTGTATTTGCGGCAGGACATGAAAGACTATTGGTATCTACTGTATGTGTAACAACCTCTCACCATAGCTGAGGCTACTAAGCAATACCACACTACCACTGAAAGCAGGTTAAGTAAGTGGCTAATTCCTGTTCATACTCAGGAGCAAAAAAAGTAAAGAAAAAAAGATAACATTACTGTTCTATCCAGTAGCTTATTGTTTTCAGTTACGTTACTATATTAAATACCTTCTCAGTTTCCTCCTTAGGCTGTAGATGGGATATTTTATCATTTCCTTCATCTTTTTCAGGCTCTTCTTTCCTTCCAGATGCTCTTGTAATGTTAGGTTTAAATCTGTGTCGATATCCTCTAACTATTGTGTTTGTAATTGCAGTTTTTTCAGGTTCTCTGCACAAAGGATCCACAATAGTATCATTTACGCCATAATATTTAAGCCTATCAATACCATACTGTCTTGCACAGATTTCTTTACTTGAATTTTATTGTCTTCAGAAAGATTTGCCCAAACTTATGCAAGTTCCTTCACATAAGAAACAAGCTTTATTTAGTCTTACAATGCATGAAAACTCAATTTATCTATATATTAAAAAGAAATTAATTTGTCACACGGGTGAGGAATTTAACTAGATTGCATATCACAGCTGCTTCTCCAAGCACCAGAAGCAGAGTCATTACCTGATAACTGAGACTGGCAGGAAAGCAAAGCCATAGTTATCACTCTCCCCCTCTCAAATTACAGGCATTGTTGGTACTCCAATGCTTTCATCAATTTTCCAGAAAATAAGTATATACCGACTACCTTAATACCACCTCATCCAAAAAATGCTAAAGTCAGTTTTGAAATTTACATTAAAGCTTCACAATTATTGCTATCTTTATCAATGAGAACTATATGGAATAAATGAACAGTTACAGTCAGTTCATCCCAGGAGACTGGAAAAGTGATCTCAATACTTACTGAGATGCAGTATCCAAATCCCTGTTATCCACTTCTGTGACTTCATTTTTGTTTCTTCTACTCTCTTCTTCAGAACACTGAAATTGAGGCAAGGAATATTACTCTTTGACAAGCGTGCAGGTATCACAGTAGCAGTTCCCAAAATGTTATTTCTGTCACTGGCCCACATTGAGCAAAATAGATACAGCATCAAGAACAACATACTAAGTAACATTCCTCTGTCTGACCTTTTCACCTGCATTTGCAAGGGTTGGAGAAGTAGTTCTGGCTCCTGTTTTGTCTTGTGTTGCTGTCTCCGTCCTTCCAGATGATCTTACTAAATTGGGTTTAGGTCTTTGCAAACGCCTTCTATCTGCTGACTTTTCAGTCTTCCTTAAGATATAAAGAAAGGTGGTATACATTATTACCAAAGAGAAACTTAAAGTCTTATATGCCTTACGATGTACTTCAAGAGCATCATAGACTGCATGGGTCAAGACATTGCATGCAGAAAGACAATAAACAGAAAAAAAACCCCACTGCATCTTTCTGATATTAAAAGACATGCTACAAAGTTATGAAAAGAGCATCAAATAAACCTTAAGTTGCTGGCTTTCAGTGGAATATACTTCAAAATACTTTAAGGAAATATTTCCTGCTGTTAAATAAATAGCAATATTTTTTTTCTCCTTGGGATTCACAATACATGTCAGTGTGATTAATTTTATATAGAAACAATATAAATCTGCCCTATATACAATGTTTTGCATCTGCCTCTCCTATCCCCCCATCCCCTTTCAAAACTATCTCAGTCATGGAAAACCAAACTTTTTTCAAATACCTTGTCCTATTGCCAGCATCTACATCTTACTGAAGAATGGGGTACATACATCACTCTCTTTGTCTTTAGCCACTGCAATGGCTTGTCCTGGGATTCACAAATTTACACAGCCCTACATCTTATCAATAATCTTCAGATTGGGAACTACTACCTTTTCTTATATTCTCCCTAGAACAGGACAAATAAAGCTTTGACAGTCTTTATCATAGGAGTGAGCTGCCCTTCAGAAAGGGGAAGATAGAAGTATGAAAACCGACTCAGCATTAACTAGTACCCCATCTCTAAATCACCTTTAGAAAACTGTATCATGAAATAAGAAGTTGATGATCATGCAAAAATGGAAACCTTAGGCACAGACTACTTCAAATATGATTTCTCAGTATAAGAAAAAGTCACCAAAATTAACTTCATAAAGGAGTACAGATAAGACAGAGACATTTTGGAGTATTTTCCATCTTAGAAGCTTCCACCAACTTATGAAGAGGAAGTTTCCAAATAGGAAAGAAGAAATACACCATATACATGATGTGTACAGCTAATAAACTCTGATGGACAAATATGAATGTCGATGAATTCAGTGAGGCCCTTCTATTAAAAAAAACAAAAATTTAATTCCACAGCCAAGCTTTACCCACAACGTGGCAGAATTTCATCATTCTCTTGCTCTTGCTGGCTGTAGAAAGGCTAGGGCTTTTTTCTTGAAGTTTAGCTAAGTCTTTCTCCCTGTTCCTATCTACCATTTAGATCTTAGCTAATGCACTGCTATTGAGTAATCAAAATTTCTACCAAAAAGCTTCACTGAATATGGAAAACAAGTAATCACGATCTCCTGACTGGTTCAACCTGCTATGGTCAATTGGAATTATATTCAAATTGAGTAGCTACAAGTTTAGTTCAAGTGCCACTGCAAAGTAAAAATTCTACTTACATGATTTCAGAGTATGAACCACATTCTGATGCACTCTGCTTTCCATCTATTTCTTGTGAGTGAGCTGTATCTTCAGTCTGAGGGAGAAATGTTGTAGAAAAGAAACAATAAACTTAGATGATCTTCTACTGTAATGTAACAAAAAACAGAAACATGATTGCCGCTGTGGTTGAGAATGGAAGGCTCTGCTAGAGGTCCTCCAGTCCAATCCCCCTGATCAAGTGTAGTGGGTCAACCTGGGTCAGATGCCAGGTACCCACCAAAACTGCTCACTCACTCCTCTCTGCAGCTGGACTGACAAGAGAAAATTTAAGGCAGGGTTCACGGCTGGAGATAAGGATCAGGAGAGAGATCACTCACTAAATACCATCAGAGGCAAAACAGGCTCAACTTAGAAATACAAAAATGAATTTATTACAAACAAAATCAGAGCATGATAATGAGAAGTAAAAGAATACCTTCCCCCCACCCCTCCCTCCTTCTAGCTCTACCCTCTACCCCAGCAGTGCAATAAAACAGAGAACAGGGGTTATGGTCTGTTCATCATCTGAGGTTGCTCCCACTGCCCAGGGAGAGAGTTGCTCTCCTACTGCACCTGGGCGTCCCTCCCATGGGAGACAGTTCTCCATGAGCTTTTGACATGGCTCCATCTCATTGGCACCAGTCCCCCTCAGACTGCTGTGGCGTGGGTCACTCTTCCATGGGGCGCAGTCCTCCAAGGACAGGCTGCTCCAGCCTGGGGGCAGGGCCCCTCTCTCCACAGTCACAGCCTCCTCCAGGCATCCACCTGCTCCAGTATGCTCCATGGGGTGCAGAGAGATTTCTGCATCCCTGTGAATCCCCAGGGGCTGCAGGGGCACAGCTGCTTCACAATGGGCTGCACCACGGGCTGCAAGGGAATTTCAACTCCAGTGCTTGGAGCAGCTCCCGCCCCTCCTTCTTCACTGACCTGGATGTCTGCAGTTGTTTTTCTCACATGTTCTCTCTCTGCTCTTCTCTGGTTGCAATTACAGCTCTGCAATCTGTTTTTGTTTTCAATAAATATGTTATCACAGAGGTGTTACCATCATTTCTAATTGGCCCAGGCCTGGCCAGTGGCATGTCCATCTTCGGAGTCAGGAATTGGCTCTGCTGGGTATGGACGAAGCTTCCAGCAGCTTCTCACAGAAGTCCCCTCTCTAGCCTGTTGTTACCAAAACCAGGCCATGCAAAACCAATACATCAAGGTGCTTGGAGCTGGTTGCCCAATACTGTGTCCAGACAGCTTCTCAATCTTGCCAAGGACAGAGACTCCACAGCTCCACCGTCTCTCTGGGCAGCCTGTGCCAGTGCTTGGTAATCCACACAGTGAAAAAGGATTTTCCTGCTGCTCAGAAGGAACCTTCTGTCTTGCACTGTTTGCCCATTGTCTCTTGTCCTGTCACTGGGCACCCCTGGAAAGAGCCTGGCTCTGTCCTGTTTGCACCCTCCCCTTGGGTTTTTGTGGAACTGTTGAAGAGGAATCTCTTCAGATCCTTCAGAGAAGGCTCCCCCTGAGCCTTCTCTCCAGGTTGAACAGTTCCTGCTCCTTCAGCTTTTTGTCTTAGGAGAGATGCTTCCTGCCCTTTACCATCCGTGTGACCCTTTCAGGGGGGCTGTCTCCAGTGTGTCCAGGTCTCTCCAACCAAGGAACCCAGAACTGGTCAGTCTTCCAGGTGTGGCTTCACCAGCGCTGAACAAGGGGCAAGGTTCACCTCCCCTGGCCTGCTGGCAACAATTCTCCTGCTGCAGCCCAGGTCACCGTTCGCTGTTTGTGCAGCCACAGCACTTTCCTGGTTCATGTTCAACTCAGAGACCACCAGGACAGCCGGGTTCTTTTCTGCAAAGCTGCTTTCCAGCTGGGTGGCTTGCAGCATGCGCTGTTGCCTGGGGCTGTTCCTCCCTTGGTGCAGGACTTTGCATCTCTATGCATCATCCATGCTGAACTTCCTGAGGTTCCCGTCAGCCCACTTCTCCAGCCTCTCCAGGTCCCTCTGGAGGCCAGTATAACTTTTGGGTGTCTCTGTCCTTAGGAGGCAATTCCTTCTAGATCTGCCTAATCTGTAAACTTGGCAAGGTTACACTCTGCTCCATCATCCAGATCATTCATGGAGCAGCACAAACAGCCCAATGTGTGTTTCATTCAAATCAGTTTCCAACATCACACCAGTAAGCATATGCCAGCAAAATCATGCTCCAAGGCCTAGCTATTCATCTCATATTGCAGTCATTCACTTTTGAACAATTAAACTGTTCAGCTGTTTAAACTGCCTATGAGGTAAGTCAGGCATGCACAGTATACTCTCTGAATACATTAAGGTTAATGGACTGCCCATTAAGCCCACAAGAAATTACAGTATTCCAATTTTGTTGATTTTCTTAGGCCTGTTGGTTGTTTTCCTCTTGATGGTTGAAAACATCACAAAAACAATCAAAAAATGGCTTTGATTTACAAACCACTTTTAAGGATCAAGGGCAAGATCTTGAGACAAACTACATTAAAAAATAGTGATACCTTTGATTCTGTAGTTTCTACACATTCTGTTTCCTTGCTTCTAATATTTGAAACTGGTAACTCTGAAATGTGGCTTTCCCTTGATGTATCATCTCTAATATCTCTGCTTCCCAATTTAGCAGGTTCTGCTTCTAGTGCATAATTGTTATCTTCAAGGCTGAAATAAATGAAAGCATAGAGGAATATTAGTGTACTTGTAGAAAAAAAATATTTCTGCTTACAGACAGAGAAAGTTGCACAGAAAAACAACGCAATTTTGACACTAAATAACTAACCACATATCTTGAAATTTTAGTAATATTTGCAGACTATGAACTTTAAAACAACTTTTGTACTGCAATTATAAGATGATGTAAAAATATCAACTGATTAGTCTAGACTGATTGCTTTTCAGAAAATAAACAGAAACAACTGCATGCCAACATTTTTTTCCTCTTTCCTAACAACCTAGGTTGAGTCCAAAGGCAAATAACTGTCCCTTCATATACTTCTAATGAACTACTAAAGAAAATGGAAGTTTATGGGAATATGTATAAAATAACAATCAATTACAATGCAGCTAAATACAACAAGTTAACACACAAAATTCTGAAGCAACACTCACAGTATCATAACGACTTATTCAATTTACCACTTTCACATATAATGAGTTTAATAAACGTATTATATGTGAAAGTAGTAAATTGAATTGAAAATTCACTTTCTTTCTAGTAAAAGTGAAAATGCCGAAAACTGAACCCAAAAGCTTGGCTGTCACCCAAATTCTGCATAAATACAATCTAAGCATCATTCCTTTTCCACAAGAATTAATTTTATTACAGATAGACATTCCAAGCATATAGTAACTCAACTCAGCAGCATTATCAACCAGTGCTTAAAGAGAAATATTAGACTATAGGATAAACAATGGTCTTCCTAAACACTCTTAAAATATGAAATAACTTTTGGAAATTACTTTAGTTATAATGTACATTAATTTTGCAATAACGGTCCACTAGGGCAGAGCATATTTTGAGTATATAAATCATAAACAGCTTACTAAATCTCAAAACAGATCTCAGAAACCACATTCTATGGCAGTTAAATGGTGGTAATCATGAATAAATAAAACCAATATTAAAACTTAAAGCTTTTTTTTGTTTTGCCTAAGCTTTCCATTATAAACATTACCTGCAAAAATTGAAACCACCTTCTCTCTCCATTTGGTTATTCAGTGGTGAGCAGGACTCTGATCTCTCTTCCTCTGTAACAGCACTCTGATTTTGCTTTCCTTCAACAGCACAATCCACTTCATTTTCACAGGTAGTATCACCATCACTGCTTGCATCATGTATCACTTTTTTCCCTGATAATTAATATGAAAGAAATCAGTTTGGACATTCTGGGAAACATCTTAGAATTCCAGTAATGAAATCCTAGCAACAGTGAAGAAGAGTTAAGAAAAGGTATAAGTATGAAGACTTAAGAGAACTACTCTCATCTAAAACAAAGTATGTTTAGATTTAGAATGAAAGCTGATTTTAAAACACATTGTTCTACAACCCCCTACAAGGCAGATCAGCACTATAAATCAAAGACAAAATTTGACTTTAAAGTTTACAATGACTTGCTATAGAATTTCTATTTGAACATTTGAAAGTGAGCATTTTTGCCTCTTACTTTTATTAGAGGACTTTCCTTCTTCAGCAGTTTTTGAAGGAACAGGCAGTTCTTCTGAAATATTCTCCACTTCCTGTTCAAGATCATCTTTACTCTTCCTCTTTCTCTTCTTTTTTGCTAATGCTGGCTCTAATGCAACCTCTTCTTCTGCCTGTTCAGAAATGCCCAAAGATTCCTCATTTTCTTTCTCAGCTGTCACACCATCTGCTTCTGTTTCTGCATCAGAAATTTCAGCTTCCTGAAGTTCATCTTGATCATTAGCAGCTTCTGTGCTGGCAGCTTTTGCTATTGAGACAATATGGTTTCTTGGTCAATAGACTGGTGGAGTACTAGCAGCCACCAACAGCAAAGCCATTTACTAAAACCATTTGTGCACTCATGTATCACTGCCAATACACTGCCAGGTGTATGAGCAGGACTGGAAAACATCAGTCATTGACTTGCCAGAAAGGTCTCAGCATTTAATACAAACCGCATTTTGTACAGGGCGCAACACTTCACCAGGGGAAAGTCAATATTGGATGTAAAGTCATAAATGCTATTGTCCCCGTGCCTTTTTGCAGCCATATTTGAATTCAGGGAAAAAAGACATTGCTACTCCTATAAAGAATTTTTTTGTGTCTGCAGAAATAAGTGATGATGGTTACAGAATGTACACCATACAAAAGCAATTTTTCATTAAGAATTGTGTAACATTCTAGTTTACATAAGGAAGCTGAAATATTATCTAGCTAATAATTAACAAGTTATTTTCTGGGTTTAATGAATTACTACAATTTTCCTCCCCCTATTTTAAGGACATTTTGTTTTGATCTTTGATTTAACCACCAATAATCTTTCCTTTCCTTTTTCATCTTAAATGAACTCATTTCTCTGTAATTAAGAACTCTAAAATGCAAGAGAAGTAGAAAAGCATACTCATATTGCTTTATGCATGACATACATTTAATCTACCACTGAAGTGTAGAAACAAGACCTCTACATGGTTTTAAGTCCTAATAGATGGGATATTTTACTTAATCACATCGAAAACCAAAGGTATAGAAAAGCAGCAACTACTTCAATTTTAAGAGATCTTGCTTTCTAGCTAGCATCCCCTTTAAAAAGATATTCATTTGTTTGTTTCACAATATCACTTACGAAAGGATAGGTCCTTGTGGAACAAAAAAGTGAACAACACTACAGAATCAGCAAGAAATGTATGAAACGGTATAACTGCTTTTAATTAAAGCACATCTGTCAAAGCTCCTTTCCCAGGTACTGAGGTAGTAAAACACAGTGCTGATCGACAATAATTAAACATAATCTTTATTTTGAACAGACCAGAAAGACCAAACCACTTTTACATGATTCTCTGAAAATAACCATACAGCTCAGAGTCAGGTAATTAAACTACTACCAAAGGAGAAACAAAACTCTTAAAAGAAGAGTATTTTAAATGCAAGAAAACTTTCAATGCAGAAGAGTTTGCCAGAATTATGATTTTGGCCCAAAAATTCTACAAGTGAATTCATTAGCAACTCATGGAGATGCTTACCAACCGGTAAATTAGAATATTAGCATTTCAGATTGTGGAAGAGCATCATTTTCACCATGGTATCATGTTTCTGCTCTGTTACTAATTATTACCATCCTGTACCTCAGTAAACTACATCTGAAAAAGTTCCACTATGAAGCTAACATCTTCTTGTCTTGTCTACAACAGGGAAGGAAAATGTGATGCCCTATGTGATTATTCCTCTGCTAGCAACACATTACTGACCACTGTGTTGTAATGCCATCTTAAGCTCTCTTTTAAAATACCTTTTGACTTCTTCTGTGGCCTTGGAGACTTTTTTTCTTTTGGCTTCTGGCTTTTAACAGTCTTTTGCTTCCTCTTTCCCTCATCTGCTAAGACCTTCTCAAGCAGCTGGGCAAAGAATTCAAAATCAAAGGGTCGTTTTTCTTCTATCAGATTAAAGCAAAGAAATGGAACAGATTTCAAAGTTGATTCATTTTTTCAAGTTTCATCTTTGTAAAATAATCAGTGATACATGACATAATATTAAAAAGCAAAGGTCATATGCATTTAAACAGAGAGTACTTGAAAGTATTTTCTATATCACTTGAGCAGGGTAGTTTGGTTTTAAAAAACAAGTTATAAAACTAAGTAGTTCAGAAAATTTAAGGACTGAAAAATACATAAACTATACCATAATATCAAACAATGTATGAACATACTGCTGTAGGACATATGCACCTCATTCAACTAACAAAGAAAAGTCTTTAAGGAGTCTCAAAGCAGCTTGTAACAAATAACTGTGCTAGAAATTCCCATGAATAAGAAGAATTATCTTCAACTGAATATACAGAAGAAAGTTTATATTAATCTCATTTAGCAAACATCCACAAAAGATAGAAAACAAACCTAAAGATCGTTGTTGTGAACTATGCTTATTATGAAAACCTAAGATTCCACAGCTTCTGGATTCATCTATGAGCATAAACTTTCTTCTAAATAATTCAAACTAGGCAAAGCACAGAAATTACCATGACAATAGATAGCTACCATTTAATGACGAATTCTAGGGTAGGGAATATTTACTTACTGAAAGCTTTGTCTATTCTCCATCCATTAGCTTTTTCCTCACGTTTGAACTTGTTCTAAAAGCAAATGCACAGTTGTGTTCTTCAATTATCAAGAAATGCAACAATACAAAATGGCAGCTCAAGCTAAGTCTTCAGTGCAACAAACCAACTAAAGTTGTTGAAATTCAAATGCATATCCACAGAACACATTTGTATCTAATTTTTAAATATAAAATCTGTTACCATACGTTTTTTATTATTTTCTACACCTCTTTCTGACTTTGAATTCTCAGCAAAGGTTTGAAGTATCAAAAACTTTCCCAGCCATGTAAACAAAAAGCACAGAAGTCCCTCACCAAACAGCCATTTAGGCTTATCAGCATTCTATAACCAAACAAAGTGTGTTTAAGGATGTTACATTTACTAGATACATTCATTGAAATTCAACCAGCATTTTAATGTTTCAGATACTTTCAACCTCTTGAAACAGGTATCAGAAAACAAGAACTACTGTGGAGAAAATCTGCACCAAAATTATCAACACTAGCAGAGGAAGCACAGGAATGCAAATAAGAAAAAGAAAAGTAAAACCAGATGTTTAATTTCTTTATTGAGTGCTTTAATTTTTACCTTAATTTCTGCTCTGGCTCTGTGAGGAAATAGCTGCCCAATCAAGGAGAAGTCTGTTCCTACCATACTGATAGCTAAAAAGAACATGTCTGTTTCTAGAAGGAAAAAGAAAGACAAAATTACACACACTTAAATATTTACTAAACCATCCTTCTTGTTATCAGAAATATAAACAACTTGCAAACTTAATGTCACTTGATCAGTAACTCTGAGGTTCTCTACTGCAGCTGCGTCCAGGTGAGTATGTATAGAGCATGTTTGTTTTTACCTATGTCATTCTAATAACATCTGTTGAATGAACTATGAACAGAAAGAGTTGTCTCAACTATTAGAAAACTGCAGAATGTGAAATATGCTTTCTAAAGCTAGTAAATCAAAGCTAACCAACCCCAAATTGTCCATGTCCATTTTAATTATGGACACAAGCACAAACAGAAATTGGAAAAACATCATGTAAATCTACCATCTCCATTATTACCAGGAATAGAGTGCATTTCAGACCACTGTGAATTCTGAAGCTAATTTTTCCATCTATAGTGGTAAAAAGTAATTTCCAATCAAGAAAATCTTGCATGGTGTTGTAAACCTAGAGATAACAGTCAATTCACAGCAGGGGTAATGAAGAGCCCAACCCACCCACTCATAAGAACACAGTTGTCCACTTGCACTGAAATCAGTCCACACAGAAACACCTGATACAATTTATTCTTGCCCATGCTGGAAAAACCTAGTTAAGTACTATATAGCACTCAAATATCTGTAAACCAGAATCCAAAATTATGCTCTTGGTAAAGAACACTAGCATTGCTTCAGCATCTAAACATCCATGGCAGGAAAAAAGCACAGGTAACCTGCGCATTAAAAGGCACTGGATTTTTTTAAAATGCCAGTTTTCACAGTAAATAGCACAGCTGTGCCTGTTGTAAGAGTGTGGAGAGTTGAGATTACATGAGATGACACATAAGTAGATCTATTTACTCCAATGGAGATGAAAACTGTCAAGTATGCAGCATAGATGAAAACTGTAACTTTTCAGCGGACTCAAAGCTTGAAATCAAAACATATTCACCTTTATTTGACCATGGTTTTGTGTAAAAACTTTTCCTGAAGCTAGAATATGTAGTTGTAGAGCCACGCTCAAAGATGGGATCATTTTCTTCAACAACACATGGACCTTTTGTTCTTAAAACTTCTACAGTTAAGCTGGGAAAGAAAACACAAGAAGACTCACCTCAAAATATTGCTAAGAAAACATAGAGTAGATGTTTATAAGACAGCTATTAATTTTTTTTTTCCACAAGTGAGCATTTCTAGTGTGTAATTAATTTTAATAATTACACCAACACATACTTTAATGGGAGAATGCAGCAAGAAAACACTACCCTATTCACCCTCTGTAAGTAAATTTGGGGTTTTGTGTTTTATAAGATATAATACAGATAGAAATAATTAAGTAGCTTAAAAAAAAAAAAAAAAGACTTTTTAACATCTGAGAAGTCTTATTTTGTAAAGCCATGACAGCCTCCCAATATCCTTCTACAATACTTTCAAATTCTTTTACCAGGCCATCTTTAAACCTTGGCCTACATTTTGTGTTAATGCCTTTGGGGAACACAGAAATTTTATAATCTACTTTTTAAACATCATATTCTAAGCAAAGTTACTGAAAACACTGCAGAAGAATAAAGCAGCAGCAGCAACAGGCAAGATGCAAAGCTGGAGCAAATCATAGTGATAACCAAATAACAGTAAGCAGATATATGTTAACTATGAGAAGCAAAAAAGTCAGCTAAACAGAAGACATTTAGCAGTCTGACAAATCTTCAGTGCTCATTTACAGTAATAAAATGTCACCTTCCTCTCCACCTCCTTCCTGTTTCCTAAGTCAGTGTAGCTCTCAACTCTCAAACATAAATACACGCATACTCATGCGTGTAGTCCTCTATTTACAAACTGAGCTGCAATGCAGTGTTGGGAAGGATGGATAAATATAATTGCCTGTACAATAGTACAGCCAGGATGAAACCAACCCCCCCTACTGGCTCGACAATGCCCTTACCTCCAGATACGTCCAAAAGCCAAATGGACTGTTCCATCTCAACCCCCAGAATGTATGGTTCATCCCACACCTGTAACCCTCCCCTGAAAGATCAAGTGTCTCTGACCCCATTGGCCCAAGTCTTGTTCCAGCCCACCTTGAAGCCCCCTGATAAGGGGTCTCTGAGGGGCCAGACGCCCTCTTGGAACTCCCCCCTCTTAGATCTTCCACCCTCTCCTAGAACTCCTTGTCTCTCCCCTCCCCCATCCCCTCAGGCCTTGCCACATGCTGCGTCTGGCAGCTCCAAGCAAGACCTTTCACCATCCCTAATAAACCTTATATTCTAAGAGCAACCTTCAGAGATCTCTCCTCTCCGTTCATCGAAGCCGTCCTGGAGCACAGCGCTCCCTACAATGCAGTATTGTCCATGAGTCAGACACAGAATTTGTCACCTTTCTTCATCCAGAATGATTGAACCATCTTCTGCTACTTTCACACGAGGAACGAGAAGTGGGCCATCCTGACTCTCTTCCCCATTCTCTTCTTCCTCCTCCTCCTCTTCTTCATGATCAGGAGTACTTTTCTCTTCCTGTCTACAATTTTTAAGACAGCACGCAAAAATACTGTTCAGTGTTTTGAATTGCTGCTCATTCAACAGACATTCAAAATTTAATGAACCACCCAGCAATGCAACACATCAAGAAATCGGTCCATATGTGAAGTTTGAAACCTGCTTTTCATTCTACTGTAAAATGGAAATATGCAAAACTTAACATTGGAAGCAATACCTGCCAAAACCATACCTGCCAGAACTGCAATTTTTATAAATTAGACTGTGATATTTGAACAGTAAAAAAATATACCTCCGTTGTTAGTATTATCACAGAAATGCAGGTTTTTTACACCAGAAAATGTTCTGACTATACTTCACCATCAAGACTTACTCTTTCATTTGACTCAGTGCAGAACTTCTTTCTGTTCTCTTTTCTTCTACCAATGAAGACCTAGAATGTCATAAAAAGCTAGAGATTATTGTTTGTACAGATATATTTCTGCTTTTTTCCATGAAACTGGCTTTTAGTGCATAACGGACAAAGAAACACAAAGCTTTTTTTTCAGTTCTTTGTATTACATCTAGATTGAGCTACACAACCACCACTGCTTAGTAAATTTTGCACTTTTTTGTACAAGCAAGGACAAAAAAAAGATATTTCAAGAAGAACTCATTGCATGGATACAGTAATGTGAGAGCATCTTACTTTTTACCTCCTTAGGGACTATTCAGTGTAAAAGAAAAAAGCAGGGAAGTGATAAACATCTAAGCACACAAACATTAAGAAGCAAGTGATAACAGATGACATCAGAAAGCTCATCTACTACTGAAAGACCAGAACTTGGATAACTGAACTTCTATTCATGTGATTGCTTTTGGTAGTTGCAGGAAAAAGGCTCTGCTCTGCTCTGTCTGTGGCAGTCTGTGCAGCCAGTTGCATTAGTGAAACATGTCAGTGGAACAGCATCAGCTACATTCATCCACGCGGAATGTAAACACCTCTAGGGTCTTGCAGTACATTTTGCACTTCAGCACCTAGAAGGAGACGTGCTTAGGTTCATGAGTCCACTGTGTCTGGTGTGCAATTATAACATCCCTAACAGCCACAACTAAAAATTTCACAGGAGGGAGTTAGGAAAAAAAAAAATCTACTAGTCTCTATTTCTGTAGAGATAAATCAACACTAGGGATAGATTCATGTTTGTCTAGAAGCTTTTGTTATCTCTGCAACAATACTGTATCTGTGCTAATACTCCATATTTAAGTATTATAGAGGTAAAAAGGTAATTTAACCTAAGAAGAGAGACAAAGTCATACTTACTTCATAGGATTGTTTTCTGGCAGATAGTATATTAAGTCTCTCATGGTCATTTTAGAACGATCTGGTGGAGAACGTCCTTCGATTACTGGAGGCCTGTGTTTCAACTTCTTCCACACAAACCAAAATTAAAACAAAAGAAAACAATAAACACTTATTTTCACCCTGAAAATATTTTCTATTTCACAAATTATTATTACTTTTGTTTATTTATGAAGTACCCCATTCATGGAATTTTGTTGTTCACACACACACACCACTCCCAAGAACCAAAACAAGATTATCTTAAAAGCATCCCTTTCTCAGAGAGAGCATTACAGACCCTTAAGACACTTACCCTTTTCAATACCTGGTACAAATAAGTTAAAAGTTATTCAAAATTACAGAACTCGGACAATGATCAACTTGAAAAATATCCCCAGACAAAAATCCCCAATCCAACCTTCTTGCAGCACACCTCCCTGCTGTATTACAAACAGTGAAACTTTCAAAACTGGAATGTTGACTACAAAATAAAACCAGGTGTCATGTCAAAAAGACTTGTGGTCTAATCAAAGGCAATTTAGGCAATTCCTTGTAAAATCTGTATTATTAGGGAACAAAGTGCTGCTACTGCTTATAAACAGAATAAACGAAGAATTATGACATATGACAGACTACTAGCAGTAAGCAGCTGACAATCATCAGAAAACACTACTGCAAAGAGATAATGTATACAGGGTGAATCAAATGTCTTGCCCTTCACAGATAAGCACTGCTCAACACAGAGGCCTTACCATCCGCTCTTTCTTCAGCTCTTCTTTAAGCATTTCTCTCAATTTCCGAGCCTTGAGGATCCGTTCACGGTCAGAACACGTTTGTTTGACTTTCTCAGGAGAAGGTTTCACAGGTAGCTTTTCCTCCTGTGTTTGTAATCTTTCCTGTGTTGGTCTCTCCTTAAGAGGAGAGGGTACACTCTTCTGCAAGCTAGAATAATTTTTCTGAGCAGCTACACCAACAGTTTGCTCTTTGTTCACAGACTTTTTTAGTGGTGAAAACTGTGGCACTTGTGGCACAGGTGTTTTCTTCTCAGGCAGCATAGGAGACTTCACAGAGCTTTCAACATTACTCTTTTCTGATGGGGAGGGATCCTTATGAAGTGAAGCAATACCATCAGAAGCCTGTGATGTTCGCCTCTGCGGTTTTGGTGCAGAACGCTGAGCACACGATGGTCCAGCTCTGGGTTTGACAAGATTTGGCATGGTGGAGATGCGTTTTCTTCTCTGTGTAAGCATCTCTGCAGGTTTACTAGCTTCCCCAGTGCCACTTGTATTGTCCGCCTTGTCATCACTGGAAAATTTAAGAAAGTATTCTGAAGTTCTTTACAGTGATAGATTTGTTGCTCTTACTTTCAAGATATGTTTATGGGCCAATCAGTATGAACACTAGGCTACAGGAAAGCAGTTATACACAAGAAGCCATGCTAGGACCAACATGTAGCTGGTACTTCCTCATCAAAGAATTAGCTCTATGAACTGACGTATTATTTTCTAATACTAATCACTGATCAACAAGCTTGCAACAATAACACATTCTCACACCCCACCTCTTTTTTTTGGAAGGCTCTCTCCTTTCAGCTGAAAATACACCAGTACCATAAAGCTTTATAAAAAGTTACCCACATAACATAGGCGATATATTAAAAACACTTCAACAAAGCTGTATGTAACAGTGATTTGGTGAATTTTATTACAACAAAACTGAACATTCCTCTTATGCATTTGCAAGTAGGTGATATGTAAACTGTGACTTCCAGAAAAACTTCAGCAAACCACTGCTCATACTTAACACATCAATAGCTCTTAGCTTCCCTGAAAAACTTTGAATGTAAATACTTTTTCTATCACTTATGCAGAAATAATTTTCAAAGTGCAAGTAAAATTGCCAACCATTATGATCATCCCAAATCTGCTGACTCTACCAGTGTTCAGTTTCATGGCTGTTATTCAGAGTAAGACTGCAGTATAATTATAACTGAGTCATAAAGCGGGTTTTTAAAATTTTATATTGGAACTATACCTTGTTTCTGTACCTAAGGACAACCACAGCCATGGTTCACTTACACATTTTTTAAAAAGGTCAAAAGTAAATGCTTTCCAAGAAATATTAAAAAAGTATAAACACATGATCAAACTTTTCAAAATTCTCTCCAGCTATGTCTATGCCTATGACTCAGGCAAATGCTGCAGATGATGTATTTGCATTTAGCAGCCTCTGTTAAATGGCTGGATCAATTTGTCCCACACTGTGAGTTCATACACATTTTTAGTACAGAACACCTCTGGGCAGAGTTTAGAGGGCTTATTACATGCTGCCTATTTAGGTGTTTTGAATGAGATCCTTGCAAGTTCCACTCAACACCCACTGTTCTTTGTACAGCAGGAGACAATGGAAATTCTTAATTCACCTTCTCCATACCACCTATGGTATGTGGAGTTTTTAATCAGAGTGCAGCACTAGATTTCTGAACAGTTAAATAAAATTTAACAGAAACTATATTAAAAAATTATAATTCTCTTACAAAATTTTCACTTCCCTGATAATTAACAAAACTTATTCAGTATATAGAAAATAAAACAATGTAAAGTGACTGATGCTACAGACACAGACTTGAGCAGCTGTGAGTGAAGAGATCAGTGTCTGCCCCTCTACTTCCCCTCATGAAGAAGTTGTAGATTACAATGTGGTCTCCCCTGAATCTCCTCCAGGCTGAACAGACCAAGTGACTTCAGCCACTCCTCATCCGGCTTCACCTCAAGGCCCTTCACCACCTTTGCTGTCTCTCTTTGGATGCTCTCTAACAGCTCAATGATTTTCCTATACCCAAAACTGCCCCCAGCACTAAGGTGAGGCAGCCCCAGGACACAGGTCGCCCTTCTGGCTGCTAGGGCACTGCTGACTCGTGTTGAACTTGCCACTGACCAGGACCCTCAGGTCATTTTCCTCCAGTCATTTGTTCCCCAGTCTGTCCATACATTCAGGGTTGCCCCACCCTAGGTATAGAATCTGGCACTTTCCCTTTTTCAACTTCATATGCCCAGTGTTTGCCCAGCCCTCTTAATTTGTTGAGGTCTCCCTGCAGGGCCATTTTGTATCATGTCCAAACTTACTTAATATACCTTCGAAACCAGTGTCCAGTCATTTATGAAGCTGTTGAATAGCACAGGGCTGAGGATGGAGCCCTGTGGAACCCCACCAGTGACAGGTCACCAGTCTGATGTCACCCATTCATTGTAACCCAACCCTGTTGCTCACACATCACATGATGTGTTCATCCAGGTGCTGGATGTTTTGTCAAGAAGGAAGGATAGTGTGAGAGCCAATATGGAAAGTTCTACTGAAATCCAAAACGATTAGAGAAACTGGTTTCCCCAGGTCAGCTAGGTGGGCTACCCTGTTAGAAGGTTATATGGCAAAGACCTATTTTTAGACCATGAGAATAGATCAGAGTGCCTTTCAGAGTCACGCCAATACCTAGTTTTGAAACTTAAAATTATATTACACTGATGCACCTGTTAAATTACAAACACAAAAGTCTTTTACAAATCTGCTGAAACAGCAACAGTAGCACCTAAGTGAAAAATCGCAAAAATTTCTTCATTTTAAAAAAATCAGATAGCAAAAGATCCAGTAAGATGATCCCTGTAACATAAACATTTTATAAATAAAACTTGAAAGAATGGCATTCTTGAAACACAATGCAAAACAAGTAAAGATGTAAAATACCAGTTGAATAAAACACAGTATGGGTTTCCTAATGACGTGCCATGCCAACTAGTCTGACACCTGAATTTCCAGCCACTGAAACAGGAGACATTAACACTGTTTCATCATACTGTCATAATGGGCAACCTTCAACTAAAAGAATAAAAGGATTTATGAAAGACTCAAACCCAACTGTAGAAAAGAAGTGTGAATGTTGTTCTGAAGAACCATTATCAGATTAAGGACATGTCCTGAAACATTGATCTGTACCGCCTTTGGTGGGGACAGAGTTAACTTCCTTCACAGTAGCTCAGATGTTGCTGTTTCAGATTTGTGACACAACAGTGCTGACAGCACACCCATGTTTTCAGCTAATGCTGAGCAATGATCATGCAGCACCAGGGTTATTTCTCACAATGCAGCATGGCTGTCTACTCTGGGGATCAGCAAGAAACTGGGAGGGGGCACAGCCAGGACAGCTGATCTCAGAAGACTGAGGGCTATCCCACAACATATGGCATCATGCTCCTCAGTAAAAGCTAGGAGAAGAAGAAAGGAAGGACATTTGGAGTTATGGCATTTGTCTTCCCAAGTACCTGTTATGAGTGATGGATCCCTTCTTTCCTGGAGACAGTAAAACACCTGTGGGTAGTGGTGAATTAATCCCCAATTCTGCTTTGCTTATGTGCCCAGGTAATTGAACTGTCTTTATCATAACACATCTTTTCTTGCACTTTTGCCGTTTTGATTTTCTGCCCATCCCACCAGGCTGGGAGGGGCAGGGGTGTGGGGAAGCAAGCAATAAACTGTGCGGGGTATAGTAACCAGCCAGGCTTAACCTACAGCAGAGAGGTCCTCAGGGAGAGCCAGTCCTAAGGCCAACTTTACCATGTGCTTCCATCACAATAAAAAGCCCTTAAAAACCTTAAAAAATCGGCAAAAAAACCCCACAAAAAGACAGAAAGTCCTCCCTTCCCAATTCATAAAGAAATGAACACAAAAGATAAAATGCTGTTGGAATGCAAAATCAAACTCATCTGGTTACAAAGCACAAAGAATTTTTGCTGCACACAGCAAATCAGGGCTCCTGGCTGCTGTGGAGCTAGAAGTAAGGAGTGTCGGACCACACTGGGTCCCTCCTTTGCAGTCTTCACTTACAGAATCACAGTAGCAATTGAGCTGGAAAACACCTCGAGATCGTCGAGTCCAACCTATGACTCAAGATCACCTTGTCAACCAGACCACAGCACTACATGCCATGTCCAGTCTTTCCTTAAACACCTCTAAGGATGGTGACTGCACCACCTCCCTGGGCAGCCCAATGCAATGTTATTCCAAGCACCTGCTGCACAACGGCAGTGAAGAAACGGCGGTTTCCTAGTCTACGAACGTGCCGAACAACCTTGTCTGACAACCCTGGACACGCCGTCATCGGGCACCGACCGCACGCGTCTTGCGTCTTCCACGAGGTCTTCAAGCCGAGCCAGTGCCCTGTCATAGCACTGAAATACAGCCGGCGACGGGCCACGACAACGGGCGCTACGCAGAGCCACCGCCAGCTCCGGGGATCCGCCAGATCCGGGGATCCACCTGCACAGGCCCGTCCCGCTCCCGGGAATCCGCGGCCCAGTGCCGCCGGCGGCCCCACTCACTGCCCTGCCGGGCGAGCTCGGTGGGACTCACCTCTCTTCCCGCCGCGCGTCCGCCGATTCCGCCGCGGTCCCTGTTCCGTCCGCCGCCGGGGTGTCCGAACCTGGGGGTTCCGCCGGCTCAGGGTCCACCACGCCAGCGGCGGCGGCGGCGGCGGCGGCGGCCCTGCCCGGGGGGCGCACGTTGGGCCGCACGGTGAGACGGGCCCGCCGGAACATGGCGGCGGCTCCGGGAGAGGGGCGCGCCGGGCGCTCGCGGGAGAGGCGCCCGCCCGCGCAGCCGCCCGCGAGCTCGGCGGCGTCAGCAGCGCGCGGCGGCGATGGCCCGCGGATGCCGCGAGCCCGGCCGGCTCACGGCGTGCCGCCCCAGCGGCGCGCCCCGCAACGTCATCAGCGTGCACCCATCGCGAGATGAGGGGCGGGAGGCGGAGCCTCTACGGGGCAAGCAGTAACGGCGCCGTAGCCGCCTGTAAGGCCCCAGCAACTGCTCAGCCGCCTGTAAGGCCCCAGTTCAGCCGGCTCCCAGCAGCTGTCCAGGCGCCCGCTCTGCCCCCCAGCCCAGGCTGCCACACCACAGCCCCCGCACCTCTCCCGCACACTCGGGCCCGGCAGGACGCGCAGCACGAGCCTCGCAGTGCTCCTGCCCGAGGGGCGGGGTCAGCGGCGCGCGTTCCGCTGATTGGGCCGGGCGCGCGCGGCGCCGTGACATCAGCGGCCAGCGAGGAGTCATAAGGTGCGGCGGCGGCGGCAGCGCCCTAGAGAGCTCCGGCGGTAGGGGCGGAGGAGGTTCGAGTTTGGCTGGTGGTAGCGGTCGAAGGCGTAGCGGCGCTGCGCGGCCTCAGCGTCTCGCTATGACCCGTGAGTACCGGGGGGCTGTTTGGGGCCTGTCGAGTAGCGAAGTGGGCGGTAGGACTTGGGCCGCCCTCCTGGTCGGTTCCTGCTGTGGGGCGCGACGCTGAGGGCGGTCCGGCTGGGGGTCGTGCCTGGGCCGCGATCTGGAAGTCGGCCGCTGTGTGAGGCCAATGTTGCGTCCGGCTCTTTGCGGACTTGGCGTCCCACCAGCGAAATCTCGCCTGTAGCGATTGCGTGGGGAGGAGGCTTTTCCCCACGTCCTGCTGCCTTCCGAAGCTGGAGGTGAAAACATCCTCCTCCGCCTTCTGGTCAGTGGAGGCGGGACCGGGGGGAGAAATTAAGGTAATGATGGGCTGAAACAACAGCCGCACTTCATTTCAGTCCCGGCTGCCGCCCAGACTGAAAATAGAGGGCTTTAATATCCGTGCTGAACACTGAATACTATGCTGCTTAACCTGTGGTGGTTGAGACTGTTGTTGAAAGGGCAAGAGCACTCGCCACCGTGCTGGATGCTGACCAACAGCAGTGTTCTCACACCCGCTCTAAAATGGCGGAGAAGTGACCCGGGATGCTCCGGCTCCCCTGACTGCTGGGAGTGCTCCTGTGCCTTCTGCCTGTTATGTCTGGCAGTACAGAAAATCCCTGTGTTTAATTTTGGTTGTGCTTTCACATTAATTCGAAAAAACCCAATTTTGAGGCTGTGCTGTCACATTCATCTCGAAAATACACAGTTATGAGGGCACACTTGCTGCTGAAGTCCAGCTGAGGACCTGGAACATAAAGTTTGTGCATAGAACACAATAAAGAAGCGCATTTAGGATCCTTGATGGCGTTTTTCTTCTCGTGGAGTTGGAAGAGTGAGGACAGGTTGAAGTAAGGTCTGTGTTTTGCACAAGCAGGCCAAGATGGGGATCATTGAGAAGGAAGGTATAGAAATGTATAAGCAGGAAGAGTGTACTGCTCTTTTTATGGCAGTTCATGCTTGAATTTTAGGAAGCTGAATTGTCTTCTGTTGACAATTTCATGGAAGATTTAGCTTGATATTACAGAATGTAGGAAACACCAGTGGTTCCCTTGAAGGTAGGGACACTTATGCAGCATCCCAGATGAAGTAATGGGGCCAAATAGTCCTTGGCAATGTTTACTTGGAAGCACTGATGGTAGAAGTAAGCTTTTCTTCAGAGTTTTTGGTATTCTGTGGTTTGTGCATTATATATTGCTCAGCTTTTCTACCTTCTCTGCTTTGCTGTGCCACCTGCTTTTCAGTGGTAAAATTGAGTTCTGTTCCTAAATTTAAAACCTTACCATGTGTAAGGAAGAACTCTGCATAGCCCGTGCTCACTATTTGCTTGGAAAACAAGGAAAAAATCGGAGTTTAAGAGTGGAGATTAACTGCTCATAATGAAGTGTTTGTCGTTGAAGGTAATTCCGGCTTTAACAAACTGGTTTTATTTTGTTTCTGTTTTCTTCATGATAAAATAAGATATTTCTCATTTTTGGGTGGTTTTTGTTTTGGGGCTGTTGGTTTTGTTTGTTTTTGTTTGTTTGGGTTTTTTTAAGCACTGTATAAGAGTTCTTTCATTGCTCCCCAGTCCTTCATATAACGTTCTTGCCTCCTGAGCACCACAAAACTCAGGAGCCATTTATGGCCTGGAATGTGTCATCTGCTCATGAGTCATCAAGTTCTAATCAACACTAGTACTGCCAGAGACAGCAGGTCTGCTTCAGTCTCTGAACAAACAGCTGCCCTTCTTCTAAATGGACTTAGAGGACAGGATGCTAGTGAGGATCGCGAGTAGAAGTTCTCTTAGTTCTCTACCTTTTCCAAGAGGTAGTACTTAATGTCCTGTCACAGACAAAAGTTATCTTCCAATACAAGAGCAGCTTTTGGGAAGCAACAGTCATACAGGACTGTTTTTACTTGAGCTTCTGGCATGTCTTAACCAGGCAGTCCATAGGCTCTTGTGAAGAATGCACAAACCCCTGCTCCTGCAGAGTTCATCTTGTCTACTTGGTGACACGGCAGGTACCTTTGCTCAGAAAAGGTGTGGGTACAAAGTGGTGGATCATACCAGGAGGTTGTTGTTGTTTAAAAGTGACCTAGTCCTAAGAAGCATTTGTACACCAGAAATTACAGGCACCTCAAGACTGAGATCACTGGCTTTGAGACTGAAAGATGGCACAGTCAGTCTTAAAACTAATTTAGAGAGACTGAAAAGAGAGACAAAAAATTATGAAGAGAGGGAATTGTAATTTTTGAGTATAAAAGAATGTTATTGTGTTAGTTCAACAGAACAAATGATTATGTGTAGCATATCTGGAACACTGTCAGTCCAAAAGAACTAGAAGAAGTAGTACCAAGCCAGTGAACCAGGTCTGGCAGGTGCAAAATAGCAAAATAGAGTGAAGGAAGGGAATACTGAGGAGAGATTGCCAGCTAATGCAGAAGAGGTTGCAGTCTGTGGCCATTGCCTGGAAGACCCTAAGTATTTAGATGGAGAGTCGATATTTGGATGTTGTGCCCTCGGGAACTTAGTGTGATCAAAGAGCTTGCATTCCTCTTGTTGGTAGTTGTGGGGAAAGCCTGAAGAAGTGTCTTCTCTGCTGACAGTTATGTGGGTTTGTGTCTTGCTATGCATAAAGAAGTAATGTTACTCTTCTCACTTTTGTTGGAAGTAATGCCACCACTACCCAGTTGCTAGGGCCCAGGCTTATGTTCTGTACTGTATTTCAAATTAAAAAAACCTTTTGAGGTCATCTCTTCAATAGTATTTGAGTGCAGTCAATTTCAATGCTGTTCTTTCAGTCTAAAAGTAATTTGTAAGGTATATTGAATGCTGGAATGTGTTTCAGAGTGGATGACTTGTCTTTGGATGATTTTGTCCAGCCTATTGGTGTGATGGTTTTCCTTCAGCCTTTTATGACAAACTACATTTTGTTTCTGTAAGGAATATTAGAATTTTGGTAATCTCTTAAACATGACATAGAATTGAAAAAGTAACAACTATGAGCCTTTAATTTCTCCTGTTGTACACTGGGAGAGGACACTGAGATAGAAGACATGGCCATACCAGCTCTATACATTATGCCAAACTGCACTGCCTTTATAACAGACTTTTATACAGGTACATTGTGTGGGAAAAAACAAGTGGTAGTACTTGTTTAACTCTATATTATCTTGCAGGTGGGAACCAGCGTGAACTTGCTCGCCAAAAGAACCTGAAGAAAACTCAGGAGATCCACAAAGGCAAAAGGAAAGAAGATAGCTTGTCTGCTTCTCAGAGGAAACAGAGGTAAGGTCTAGAAAAATTGAGTAAATGTTTAGTCTGAAAAAGGAGAGAGGGACATAGGTGAGAAAGAATCCAGTGTCTTAGCTGACACAGCATTTGAATGCTTTGTTTTTATTCACTGGCTAATCACTTGCCAGAGCATAAACTGTGGATTAAATTTTGCTGTATCTGCTGTTAAACAGATGTATTTTTATTACCTCCTGTAAAGCTTTTTCATTTTTTTGACCAGCTTTTTGCCTACTGCAAACAGGAAAAAATTGTGTAATGCTTTCTTGAAGATATTTGATCCATTATATCCTTTACTTCTAAAATAAAAATAATTATATCAGGTCCACTAATCAAGTAAATTGTCTGCCTCATGGAATACATGCACTAAAAAAACAGGGTAATAAAAAACTGTTTGTGGCTGAGAAATTATTTTTTCCTTTTTCAGGTGGAGTTTACTAAAAGGAGGGAACTCTACTTATAAAAATTGTGAGCCAGTATCTGATATCCAACTGTTTTTTCTTCATAGGGATTCTGAAATCATGCAGCAAAAGCAAAAGGCAGCTAATGAAAGGAAGTCTCTGCAGGCAGGAGCAAAATGAGCCGCCGCTATGGAGAAGATAGAGTGCGCCAATGAAGCAGAAGGACCGTAGAAGATCATACATAAAATTGGCCATTAAATGAATAAATGTTTATTGTGCAGAGTTGTTCAACTAGCATTAGTTCAAGTATTTTCTGGTTACTATAGGCCTAGTTGTCTATAGTGCTCGTTCAAAACTGACTATACTCTTCTGCATGTCTGTGAATAAAAGTACCAAGCAATAGCTTTATTCTAGCTTTTGCTGCATTTGTTAGTTTTACTTAATGGTTCCAGTAACAGGATTTCTGAAGTTAGACGAGATTTGGTTACCCGAATTCTTGAAAGTACAGCTTCATTCAGAATAGAACACACTTGTAAAATGTGCTTCACCGTGTGGAGGTCTGAACTGTAAATCTCAAAATATTTTTACAATAAAATGTTGCATGAAGTACTGTCTAATCTGAAATGGTTATGCTTTATAATCAGTTGATTTCTAAGAAGTTACCAAGAACATAAGGAATGGATAATCCTGTGGAGGAATGCAGTATAAGAATGTAAATATAATATAAAGTATAAGTAAAGTTTATAAGAAATGCATATTATAAGCACTGTCACATGCAGTTCAAGTCTGCCCTATAGGAAAAATTGCCACTTGACTTGCAGATTTGCTGGTGTACAAAAGTGACTCAGTCAAGTCCTGATACTACCTTAAAGAAGCTGTAGGCTTGATGTTAAAAGCTGATGTTGAAATTGTTACACCACTAAAGTTATTTGAAAGTACTGCTTAAACCTGCCTCAGGAACTGTAAGTTAGTGTGGAAAAACTCAGCCCCTGCTTTACAGGCATGCTTGAGTATATTGTGTACTGAGCAGGGGAAACCTGTTGAGGAAACTTCCCTGTCTGACCATCCAGGAGCCACTCTGGCAGTCACATTCACACCACCTGTGCTGGGACTGAAGCCCCTTCACAGCTGTACCACTCACACTCAGATTCAGACTAGAATTCCTTACCATCTCAAGCCCAGGCTTCCATTAGCAGATTCTCAGACATCCTTATCTTTAATATAACTTAATTTTGTTGCAATAACAAGGTCACAGCTCCACCTGACGTCTTTGCAGAGGGGCCATAAACAAAGGAACCCTTGGCTTTTACACCCTGAGAGTCAAGGGGTGGGTCCTGGTTCATGCTGTGCCTCAGTTCCTCGTGCTGGTGCCACAGGTCCTTGTGCTCTTTGTTGTGCAGTGGGTTGGCCTCTAGCCTTGGGCTCCCACTGCAGCTGCACCTGGAGCTGCTTGTACTGATTGTGTTCCTCAGCAAATCATTCAGTCTCTTTTAGAGAAAGAGTTTGAAGCCTTTGCTTTTTAAACTGTGTTCTGTCTAAGTGCATTCATTCATTGGTAATAGGCCCTGGCATAGGTTGAGGAGAGCTGGAAGTAAATTGTAGCTGGTGCTGGCAGTAGTTGAGAAGTTAGGCAAATTCACAGAATCACTGAATTGTTAGGGTCGGAAGGGACCTGTAGAGATCATCCAGTTCAAGCCCTCTGCCAAGACAGGGACAGCTGGAGCACATGCTGCAGGAATGTACCCAAGTGAGGTTTGAATGTCTCGAGAGAGAGAGACTCCATCACTTCCCTGGGCAGCCTGTTCAAGTGCTCTGCCACCCACAATGTAAAGAAGTTCTCTGTCTTATTGAGGTGCAATTTCTTGTGTTTTGGTTTCCTTGCTTGTCCTATCGCTGAGCACACTGAAAAGAATCTGGCAAACCATCCTCTGGGCACCTGCCTTCGAGATAATTTGTGTGTTTTGATGAGATCCTCTCTCAGTCTGCTCTTCTCTGGACCAAACAGCCCCAACTCCTGCAGTCTCTGCTGATGAGATGCCCCAGACCCCAAATCATCTTTGTGACCATTTGCTGGACTCTTTCTAGTAGCTCCTTGTCGTTCCTGTACTGAGGAGCCCAGCACTGAACACAGCACAGCTCCCTCGCTCGCGTTATGGCAGGCTGGGTCGCGGCTCCCGCCGCGCAGCTCCCAGGGCGGGACTCCCGGCTGAGCAGGCGCGGGGCCCGCGCGGAGGGCGCGCACGGCCGCGCCCCTTCCGGCGGCGGAGCGGGGCCGGGCGTGCGCGTGCGCGTGCGCGGCGGGCGGGCGGGCGCGCGGCATGGCGGACGCGGTGCTGTTCCGGCGCGGCGCGGGCCAGGTGGGAGCGGCGGGGCGGGAGCGGGGCCGGGAGCGGGGCCTGGCCATGGCGCTAAAGGCTGTGTGCTCTCCCCAGAGCGACGACTCGGACATCTGGGACGACACGGCCCTCATCAAGGCGTACGACAAGGCGGTGGCCTCCTTCAAGGTAAGGGGCCGGCGCGGCCGTGGCTGGATGCTGGGGCTGAGGCCGCTGGTTTGGCACTTACTGGTTTTCTCCTTTCTCTTCCCTAAGAATGCCTTAAAGAATGGGGAGACCTCGGAACCTTCAGACAAGCAGGAGGAGAGCGTGGTGATAAAGAGAAAAATTAATAGAATGATCGGAAATAGAAACAAGTGCAATACCAAGTGCAATACAGCGCCTTTGAAACAGGTCGTCTCACTTGTAAATGCCAGTGGTGATTGTACTGCCTTTTTAAGCCCTACAGGATACAATTTAGTAAAATCTTGGTTTGGCCAACTTGCAAATACAACATGTTGTACTTCTGCACTCAGAAGTTGCTGCTTCATCACCTTGAGAGTAACATTTTGCAATGGTGGTGTAGGGCAATAACGTTATAAATTTCAGGTTACACAGAGGAATTTCAGTAAATACAAAGGAAACACTGTAGGTGGGATCTATCTTTCTGGACAAAATGTAGTTTAGGAAGCGGTTCTGTCCAGCCGTGTAGATATTTACATGCTTCTCTTGCTTCTGTTGCAGTGGAAGGTTGGTGACAGCTGCAGTGCTGTTTGGTCTGAGGATGGTCATTTGTATCTAGCAACTATTGCCTCCATCAACCAGAAGAGAGGCACATGTGTTGTCACTTACACAGGATATGGAAATCAGGAGAAGCAGAATTTGTCTGATCTACTTCCTCCATCCAGTGATGAAATAGTAAATGGGATGGGGCATTCTGGGGAGGTGAGGGACTTTTCCATTCTTCTGTAAAGAGTTGGGAAAGCGGGAGAATCAACTTCTTTTAGTATGTCTGATGGCACTGCTGGTGTTCAGAGTGAGAAGCGATGCACAATTCTGTTGTAAACAGATACAAGTTGATGGACAGAATGAAAGCATCCCTTCTCAAAGTCAGCGTGGAAGAAAGGGAGTAGACAACAACAAATTCATCAGTGAAAGAGTGTAGCTAAAGTGATAAGCTAAAAGATAAAGTTAGTCCTGTGTAGGACTGGGTGGGCTGGAGAGAGAGAAGGATGTGAATGGGACTTTCCAAACTTTTTCACACTAAAATTATTGTTGTAAACTCCTGTTTAGTGCATGCAATAAAAATGTCTTTGTCTTCTAGAATGAAAATGAGACTCCATATTCAACAGATGAAAGTGAAAAATCTTCTCAGTCACCTCGAAACAAAAACAACTGCACAAAAGCAAGATTTTCCCCTCAAAAATTGAGATTTTCCACACCACCACCACCAGCCCCAGGCTTAAGAAGGGTAAAATCAATTAATTGAAATAATTGATGTACAATTGCTAAGCATGATATTACTGTGAATCCTGAGACAATGTGATGATATTTATCATTGTCTAGAATTCAATTAACAGCATTTTGAGAATGGGTGTACATATATGCATGTCAGTATCTGTTGGTCTGCCATTTTGGAATTATCTGGCCACAGTATAGTCCTTCTGCAGTGCTGCTGTCTAGTGAGGAGAACCTTCTGGTCTGTAGCTAACATTGGCTTTTCAATTGCCTTTTATCTTAAAAGGGGGATATTGTTGCCTGCGTTATGGTGTTGTGATTAATGACAGTGCTGTTGATGTTTTAAGATTTTGCATTTTCTAGCCAATTGGTATGTTTCACTTCAGAAGACATTGAAGGCATTAAAGGTGATGTCCACATGTCATAGAGCCTCTCAGCTGTAGCTGCTCTCTTGAATTAGGGGTGAATGGGGTATCGATACACTCTTCAGTTTTCCAGTTGTGTAGGAGTCTAAATAATAGTGCAGTTGTTTTCTGAAACACAGCATTATGCTTTTTAAATGTTACTGTTTGTGCAAGATTTCTTTATAAGGTTTTATTTTATCTTTTTTTCTGTTTTGTCAGTAGATTTGTATCAGATTTTTATACAAGGAAATTCACTAGCACAATGGAATTTAGTCAACTTTTGCCCCATCTGCACAGGAGCAGGGAAATTATCTGTTCATCTGTGTGAATATTTGATCTATTTCTTCCTGTTGAGAGTGTGACCATTGACTTCCACTTAGGAAAGCCTTTTAAAAATGTTTGTATTAACCAGAGCCCTGTTTCATCAGTGTTTACCTCAGTAACATGAGTAATCTTAAGCTGTACTTCTCAAGTTATGGAATGTGCCTCAGATATATTTCATTATTATGTACATGTCTTTTAAGTAAAATGCTAATACCCCAAATTCCCTTTTAATTTATAATTTTCCACTTTTTTTTTTCCATGTAGTCTGGATCAAAATTCAAGGCACCTCCATCATTTTTATCTTGCTGGCCCCCTCCCTTCCCAGCAGGACCACCAGTAAGTGACAGAAGAACAGGGAAGATGAGTATTGGTGATCTCAGGTTTTCTCACTGAATGTGCTCACTGCCTGTGTTTTTAGAATACATTTGTTCTGTTTGCCTGTATTTTTCACGTATTTGTTTAGCACATTCAGTTCCAAATATTATGATAATCTAACATACAAGGTCTGATTTGCACTCATTTCTGTGACAGTGAAGCTGTTGGTAAGAATACCAAGGGATAAATTATTTGAAGAAACGACACTTTAAAGTTAACAGCATTTCACTGAAGAAGATAGTATTTTCCCCTAGTAATGCTTTTTGTGTACAGTACCCCTGTGAAGCTACAGGAGTCGTGTTTTCCTAGGCTTTGGAAATTACATGTATTCAGGAAACATCGTCTCTGATTCCTATTCAGAGTACAAACTGAGGATATGTTCATATTTTTCAGTTATAAGTTTTAATCTTTTAGAATTAGTTGCTCTCTAATCTGGGAAACACCCTATTGAAACAGACATTTCCTTTGTGATTCCTTAGTTAATTCCTCCTCCACCACCCATGAGGCCAGACTCTGCTGAGGACGATGAAGCATTGGGGAGCATGTTGATAGCCTGGTACATGAGTGGTTACCACACTGGATATTACCTGGTATGTGCTGCTGTAGTTTTGAAGTGTCTTGGTAATTTTGCACTGCTATTGGTGCTCCTGTTTGCAGCAAGAAGCCATACAGGGAGGGCTGCTTTTTAGGCGTCTTACTCTGATTTACAGTCACTACATTAAGGGTGTTTTGTATTGTGTAAATACTGATTTGAGTAGAATTCACGTGAGCCAGCATATATATATGTGTGTGTATATATATATATATATATATATATATATTTATATATATATATATTTAGTTGATGTTTTACTACTTTGTTTGACTGGAGGGGTCCTGTCAGGTATTTTATAGCCAGTGTTTTACAGCCATTCTAAAACAACTAATTCTGTCTTTGTCGACAAGTGGAGTAAATACAATTACTTTTCAATAGTCTTCTATGTATTTTCTTTCAGTATAAGTGGTAGTATCACATTTAAGATCAGATTTGTCACTTTTGCAGATTGTTCATCAGTAATTGTTCCATGTCATTGTGAAGGTTCAGTAGAAACTGTCAACATTGTTGTGAAAATTTGTGACTTGTATTATTGATTCATATTTTCATCTGTGCACTTAGAAAGAAAATGATGTGATGAACTCTTTGCACTGAGGAAGTAGGAAAGAGAGTATTTTGTGCTTCAGATTACGTATAATGTGGATTGCTTTAAGTTACTTTCAGTTGAACAAGTATATATTTGAAATTACTTTGTATAGCCTCTGATTATAAAGAGGACATGTAGTTGGGCTTTTATTATTTCTAAACTGCCCATTCTGATTTCCAAAGAAAATTTAAAACTGTTTGTGTTTTGTAGAGGACTGAAAAACATTGTCCAGAAATGATTTTGTTCTGCGACTAAAGCTTTTATTTGCATGCTGGCCAAACCAAGATTTTACTAAATTGTATCCTGTAGGGTTTAAAACAAAGCCGAATGGAAGCAGCGTTGGAGAGACAAACACATGCAAAGTAACCACATATCTACCATTGTTCTGAAGGGTTGTAAGTATTGCAGCTTTGTGGTAAATGAAGATACAGTCAAGTTTTGAACTCCTTTCAGAAACCTCTTGGCTTTGGGACTTCCACCCACTCTTATAGCTCTCTGAAAAGGCGACTTCTGCCAGTAGTAATCCCTTCTTTGCAGCTGTGGAATTGTATTTTTGTAGCTAGAATGAAGGAAAGTATTCATTGCTCTGATGAGAGTTTTATGTACAGCATCTGTCTACATAACAATTAACAGTGAGGTTTACTTGAATTATTAATGGTTCATAGTGGGCTATTCTGGGAACAAAAACTTGTAAGTGAAATGCATTTGTTTAATCTGCATTTTCTTACAACAGCTAAACGTTGTTTTCAGGAGAAATTCAGTTTGTTAATGTTGAGCAGTTCTGTTCTCAGTACTTCAGTACCTGTGCTTTTATTTGAAAAACTTCGTCCAGAATTCTCCAGTGTATTGTTCACTTCCTTATAAAAGAAAATTATAGTCTCCTAGGAAATTGCTTTCTGATTTTCTGTGACAACATGTAATTTCTGGGTAATTGAGTAATTCTTTGTGTGTTTAAAATGAAAAAGCTTTTTTGTAATAATTTTTGCTTCCTTTTTAAAGCCAGGTACAAATCTTTTCCACTGAGAGGTGTTTATCACTTATGTATTGGTGGTTGATGGTGAAGAAATTAATTTTATCAAGACAATTAGTCAAAACATTTTCTTAACACTGAGTTGTCTCTGTTAACAAATAAATAACATCAGACTAGTAATTAAATGTGCATTAAAATGAGCCATTTCTTAAGGACCTCTAATCAAATGTGTTTCAAAAGCACTGCATCAACAGAATACTTTCACTTCGCTGAAGCAATTTCAAGTTTTCTCAACACATTATAGATTTAACTCTTTTGACCCCATGTGATAGATTTCATATAGCTCAACATGTTTTGCATTCCTCAGACTTTCTGTCTGAATGGCAGCATCAGAGCAATTGATTATGGAATCCTCTTAGGAGAGACCTATGGCAGCAATGTGTTTTACAGTCGCCACTGGTGGCACTAACATGGGAAACAGTCGTAGGAGGGACATCTTACAGGTCTGATTAGAATCATGAAATATGACAGCTTTTTTCAGGAAGGCTATTGTCTTGTTTCAAATGTGTTAATAAAGTTCTACTTCTTAAACCTTGAGTTTAGGGATTTAATTTGTTTTGGGGTTGTCTTTGTTTTGAGCTTCCATAGGCATTTCTTGGCTGGATGAATAGCTGAAATACAGCAGAGATCCTTGATGTGTTGGATTTTTCTGAGTACCATTACTGAAAGTAAATTAGGGAAGGCCTGTGGAAAGGTAAGTATGGATGTAGGTTTCAGGCCTTACAATATAGGGCTGAATTTTACTCTACTTTTAGCAGAGGCTGTAGCCACAAAACCAGGCAGTAATTTCGTTAATGGTTTGCTTTTCAGTGAAATACAGCATGAACTTTACTGCATTCGCTTCCTTTTCCTACTGTGGTCATGTGTCAAAAATCAGTTTTCCCACAAGTAATTGAGCAAAAAAAGACTTACTCATAACTTACCTAAGCTACTTTGAAGGCTTGCTTTTTTTTTTTTTTGCTTTTTTTTTTAATTATCTAGGTGATGTAAATTAAGACTGATTGCAGTGAGGCAAAGGTTCTAAATCATCTTTCAAATCTGAAGGGGCAGAACTGCTGTCTGCTTCAATCAGTTGTGTTGATGTCTGGCATTGTTAGAAAAAGAGGCCTTCATCAGTTTTAAACACGAGTAAAATCTAGCATACAATTTTACTGCAGTTCTGACTTCAGTAAAGGGGCTTGTATTTTAAACAGGATTTGTGTAACTGATTTAATGGCAAGCAAAACAACTGCATAGAATGTTAATAGAAGGGTGCATAAGAAAGAGGCAAATTATTCACACGTGAGAGCTGACCACACTTGAGAACTCCCAACAACAACTGACCACTACCAGGATATGTGACTTGGAAAGGTCCCTTCTCCCATCCCCATTGAAGATGTGAGATGGTATAGAATAATCTGGGACTCCTAGTCATGTCCTCTCCTGGCTGCTGGAAAAATTAACTCTCCTGTCTAGAACCAGGACAATATTTATTTGCAATGGAGATGTATAGTTAAGAATACAAGAAGACAAGGAAAAAAAACCCAAATCCTAACACTTTTAAACTTTTCTAGGCTTGAAAATTTGGTGAAAAGGACAAAACCATTGCCAAGGTAATTTTAAAAGTCCTACACTATAGATCTTTCATCATGATACTAGACATTTTAAGGGCCTCTGTATAAAGGAGCCAACCCACCCTTGCTATTGTTGCAGGACCAGACAATCAAGGAACAGTGATGAAAAGCAGCCATTACTGCTGCTCTTCCTGTGATCTGATGTATGAACATGTGGATAATGGCCACTTCTTTTAAAGCAGACACATTACCAAGTATTGCAAAGAAATTTCTTTAACATAGTGATTTGCTAACAGAGTTTTCCAAGCTTTTGGAAACCTCTATAGTTTGCTACTTTCACTGCAAAATCAAACAGGCATCAATAACAATTTAAATATGCTCCAAAGGTATGTGAAACATGAACAAATAAACAGTGAAGCTGAGGCATGGTACATTAAAAATTTTAAAAAAAGTGTTGCTATTAGGTTGAAAAAAATAGAACTTTGAACTCTACACATTTGAGCGTTGTGATACTCAGAGCGAGGAGACTGCTAAAAGATACTTTAGCAAGCAATGCCTAGTAGACTAAGATAAAGGTGTGTTTACAAGTGTTCAAATACCACTTACAGAGCAAAGCAAATAAAACACCCACTTGTGCAGCCACTGGAGGTCAGACATGAGATCAGCTCTGCAGAGATAGAGATACTAAGCATAACAGTCTCCATCAGGCCTGAGTACCATCATGTGAGCTTTCCAGCCTTGCCTTATGGTCTCTCTACGTACAAGATGTGACTCCTGTAATTAAGTCACTATACTGAAATCTATGTCAAAACTAAAGGAAGATACTATGACAGACTTGGCATTTGTTTACAGAAAAAAAGCATTTTCCCTGGCCTATGATACTTAAAACTACATGATAGTTTTAAGACTACACTGGAAAATAATTACATTTGAAAAACATTTTGGAAATAGAGAGTTTTAACAGCTAGGGCATATAACTAGCTCTCATAACTAGCAACAAAATTAGGAAGCTCTATTTTAAGTCAGTCTATTTTTCCACTGCTTATTTTTCATGTAATTTCCACTGATTTGTAGAAGGGGAGCTAAGAAGGCATTTCAATAAAGGTCTCAGCAAAGTCTAGTATGTAAGCAGGCTAAATACACTTTGAAAAGCAAAGATTTATTTTGGGCTGTGTATAGAACAAACAGAAGTGAAGTAATACCTATTAAAAATGACAATTTGCAATTGTAAAGTATACAAAGAGAAGATTAATTTATCCTGAAGCAGCGCCTTCTCTACTCAGACACTTAATTTGAAATTCTCTCCTTTTAACTCACCTACATCTAACAGGCTGTCATCCTGCAGTCACAGGATAAATGGGAAGCATCTGAGGTACAGCAAACGCAGATACTGCTAAACCATCAGTTTGGCTGCAGACTTTATTCTTTTACCCTTGCAGGAGGGATGAGCTCCTTCAGATTAAGAGGAACAATTTTATGTTGCAGAGGGATGACCTTTCCTGTTGAAGATTAAACAAACATATATATCCTGAATAGTGTGCCAAAGAGTGATGGCAGCAGATCCAAGTAAAAAAATCCATTAAAGTTTACATTTTGGGCAATAGGTTACTATCTGCTTTCCTTTCTCAGGTCTGCCTCTGCTGTTGTTGATTCTGTAACTCAAGAAGCTTATAAAGGTCATCAACAGAAAAGGCAAATTACATCTCCAGAGAGGGTGTAAGAAGCCTCATGAGTGCTCCAGAGACACAAAAAATTTTCTGTTGACAAGCTCAAGGCACCCAGAGAAAAGGAGGAAGAGGGGGAACAGGGTAGAAATAAAGGGTAATCCTCCCTTCTCAAAATCCAATCTGTTTCAACCTTCCCTTGTTCCCTATAAACCTGTCCTTTTTGCAGGTGGACAGTGTTTGATTTTCAGAGGTGCTGAACACCTCTGATTCTAGCTGAGGACAGCCATTCATGTCATTCAGCTCTTCCCTCTCAGAAGGACCTAAACATAGGCTCTTTCTCACATCTGCTTTGTTACTCTCCTAGTAACACCAGACAAATAAGTAAGTGTCCAGGTAAATGCTTTCTCCTTTCTAAAAACATATCCTCCTTGCCACTCTGCTCTGGCTTTCACCTCAGACAGGGCTAGGGCAATTTCATTTCAATTTCCTTGTCACAGCTTTTGCAAAAGTCAGTCTCATTTTTCAGCTGCATTACTCTCCTAATGGAAAGCCAAGACAAGATTTTAGCTAGGACCCGGACTATATTGAACCTCTGTCCCACCTGCATTGGAAAGTGGATCTTTTACTTGTCTTACATTCATATAGCTAACCAGCTTGGTTCAAGCTTATGTAAAACACCTGACTTTAGTAAGAACAGTGGCTTCCACATGGACTTTGGCAAGCCAAGTTTTTTTAAAAAAGGCTGGTCAGACTCCTCCATCCTCAAAGACGCTCAAGATGAGATCGCCTTTGCAATCAAAGATACTCGATTAGTTAGGAAGGCATTGACCTGCTACCACATTCTCAAAAGCAGGGACAGAACTGGATTGCAAGCATCTTGGGCTTACTGGAAAACAAAACAAAATCTGGGGCTGGGAGTGGACTCAGGCATACCTGAACTCCTTTCTCAGGAGTTTAGTAGGTAAGCAGGTCCTTTCTGCCCTTCATGTCTCAGTGTCTCCCTGATAAACGTTGTCTGAAGCTCCCATTCTGACCATGACAGAAAGCATCATTCAAACAACAGCCGCTTTTAATAAAGAAAACAAAAGGCTCAAAACCTCTGGCAAATGAAGTGGGCAAAATAAAATCAGACAGGCTGGGTAAAAAAAGGAAATGTCTGAGAATAGATAAACTAATTTTAACCTTCTTTCAGACAGCAGGAGCAAAAAAGTCCAGGAAGAGAGCTTGCAGAGCCATCTGCTAACCAGGCTGTAAAGGAGCCTTTCCAAAGGGACAGTACAATTGCAGAGGATTTGAAGTGACATTCTCTGGAAAAATTTTATTAATGTCTACTGCAGATGAATTTGGGAGATTTCCCTTGTGTAAATCAGAAAAGGGAAGAGCATATAGGAGAATGTAAATCCAAAATCAAAGCAGTTATGGCTCAGTAAAGAAAATATATTGCAAATTTTTCAAGAGCAGTCTGCACCTCTAGGGTAAATAAAGAGGCATTGTATCTGTTACAGACTAATAAGAAGGAAAAATATAATTATGTGACTAAAAACCCACAACTGATCCACATCTTAAACAGTGCATTTGAAAGAAGTCCCCTCAAGTGAAAAAAATACTGCATAAGAACAAGAAAAGGTGGAGGCAACACAGCAAGAATGATAAAGTAGAACAGATTTTGCCTGAGGACTGAGTTGCCTGTATTCTTCATCATGAGGATGAGAGCATTTATGGAGGATACAGTGCATTGCCTAATGATGCATGAAAATAAAACGTGTACTCATTCAAGTGCTATAATAGACTTGTGCCATTCTATAAATCAACAATCCCTCCCAGCTTTGCTTTGAATTACCTGTAAAGAAAAGAACAGCTCCGGCAAGTAAATCAGGGTTTGTTCCTCTATGTTCTTCTAGCCATGTCTCAAAGGACTGCATCCTGCACATTGTACCTCTAAGTGTCTCTGCTGGGTTCTTGAACTTCTGAATATGGACATCATACTTTGAAATATTACCCATACTTTTTCCCAGAACAAATTCACAAGTAATGCGACCTGGGGCTCAGAGGTCTGTCCAACCCCCAGCTGCCACTGCTGTTGGTGTCTTGATAGCGCTGAGCTGTCGGGCTCAGCCTATCTGGGTCCCTCAGGATAGCTCCCAGCTGCAGGCAACTTAGCAAGCAACTCTGGAGTGATTTCAGCTCTGGTAAATTCAGCTCTTAGTGATTTCAGCTCGGTGCTCGCCAGTTCCTTAGGCAGATGCAGGGAGATGGAGAGAGAAGTCTGTATGCGGTCCCACAGTGGTGTCCTTTAATTTCAGCTCCTGTG